AACTTACAATCGTATAGCGATCCAATGAAGCACAATTGTGCCTGTATTTTTCGGCAGCCCACTGTATCATCACCACGCCTTATATAGACACGATAAACACAGATAGGCAATATGATTTAGCATGGCATGCCAATCCTGTAGCTTATTGGTCTTTGTTTGCTAGCACTGCGAGTCAGTTTTATCGAACGACCATGTTATTTTGAAGTTGAGTGAACAACTGTGGGAAAAGGCGTACGTTCTCAAGGCTTTGTAATAATATGTGTTTCTATCCGCAAATATTATTATGAGAGCAAAGTGACACGTACCCGTCGCAGTTTGGCAGCTGGTAGTGGATTTTGTAGCCGTTTTAAGTAGTATTAATTTTGATCAAATTATTGCCCTCACAGTAAGGTACGGAAATTCCTTTTAGTATTTCCACAACAATCTTGGGTTCTCATCTAGTCTTGAACAGCCAGTCACCCACCCTTAGATGCAGACTATCATGATTCGCAGTCCAAAAAGATCGAGTTGATCATTAAAAATACAATTACATGCATGTAGTGAGAGTCACGACTATTTGTACTCCTTATACTGCATGCTTCTCAGGGACAATGAGATGGTAAGTCAAGAAGGTTATCGCAACAGTACTACGCTATAATGAATGAATTGTGAACAACAGAAATTCAGGGCATGTATTTATCTAGATAATCATCATGGATGCAAATCGTCTTGCGTTCAACTAGCATTCTGCAAATAGAGATCCAACTGATCTCGGCAAAAATTCATGTAGTCAATATGGTACATTTTCCTTTAACAAAGACTTGTGATCCCGGGGTATTGTGACAATCGGTATCGACCTCATTTTAAGGCCCGCTGCGCCGGTTAATAATTATTCTATGTACGGTCAAGAGCATTTGTTATATATTGGCGGTAGTCTTGAAAAAGCTCTGCAAGCAACCCAGCCACATTGCTAGATGAGGCTTGGGCGAGGTTTGGGTGAGGAATGGGTGAATAGGTTACTATTTGCACCACTGCTTTGTTCGGGCTCCAGAGCCTATTGTCTTAGATATGGGGTGGACATATTCGAGCGTAGAAACCAGAGTCCGAACAAAGCAGCCTTTTGGGAGGCTGGGCGGGGCGCGAAAAAAGTTCGAACGGCGACCTTCTGGGCCAAAACACGAGAAGATAACACAAACCTGAATTACCTTACGTTTCTGCTTTACCTTACTGTTCATCCTTGCCACAGCCGGATTAAACTGCTGATATATTCTCTTTCGGTACAAATGCCAAAAAAAATCATTTTATTCACAAGACCACTATTATTGAGGGTATCTTCGAGTCAACGTCAAATTCTTACGGAGAATCAGTGGCTTTATGCGACCGAACAATATAAGGTGCCTTGTGCGCTAAAAAAAAAATCCCCGAGAAGTCTTGCAAGCATTCAGCCGTGAACACCATTCCCTTTTTCGTGTAACTTGATTGATTGCGGATCGGTTTTCTGTCTAGGGTTTCTGGGTTAGAGATACAAGTGCAAACAACAAGGGTAATACTAGGGTTTCGTGTTTGTTGATTAACAAACGCAGAATGGTTGGGCTCACATCAAATAATTTGTCATAAAGTTTGCCACAATAATCAACTGAGAATTCATTTTAAACATTTTCAACTTGCTGCTAGAGGGCGCTCTAACGTCGTATCACGTCACCCGTAACTTTGTTTGTAAAGTACAACCTAGCCAGAAACTGACAGCAAGTTCAAATCTTTTTCCACTTTTAAATTATATGGCACTTCTGGTTTGTACCGGAAGGAAGGGTCATGTGATTTTGCACATAATGTCAAAAAAGACCCTGGATTATTTTATTAATTCCCGTGAAAAGGACTTCTGGCAATATGGAAATTATGATGAATCGAATTTATTAGAAACCCCTAACTTGCCGTTTGATAAAACCCCAAGGTCAAGAGTTTATCGGACATCATCATTTGTGCTATGAACATATTCATTAAACACGGATTATTGATGGATTTGAAATTACAAAAATTTAAATTCTCCCATTAATAACTTCCGGTCTGATTACGTCATGATTCTGAAACCTTGCAAAGTAATTTGTTGTTGCTTAAGTCTAGGGGCAATTTGGTAAAATTGTGACAACGGGGTTTTTTTATGGAAAAAAACCCAAATAATTAACCGTCTTTGATATGCCGCTAGAGGGCGTCCTTTTGAGCGATGACGTCATCTTGCTTTTATCTCCCAAGTCTTAACGAGATATGCATAAGCGAATCTACGAGCTCTGATTGGATTCCACAGTCAAGGAATCATTGTCACTTTCCTGATCCTTGAAGGGATCATTTTCAATCCCGTAAACATAATCCTCTCGAAAGTTCAAGAGCTTTTGAGCAAAAGATATCAATCAGATGTTGAAAATATTCGTTTAATTTAATTGTCGATAAAAGTGGGCCTCCCCCTTCTACCAGAGTACTAACAAAAGGGAAAATTATAAGACGAAAATGTGGAGAACAGAAAATAAATACTTTGGCACCATGTCTGAAATACACATTAATTCACACTTTACAAAATTACAAAAGGCATAGATACTCCCAGGAACAAGCGTGCATTTCAAATCGCACTTATTAAGGCAACGCCAGTGTCCCTTCTCAATCTTGACGAGAAACCACCGCCGTTGTTGCATGTCGACCGTGTTACACAAAGGGTAACGCGTACTTTGCGACGAAAAAGAAACAAAAACAGAATAGGCGGCTTTTGACATTTTTGATTGGCTTAAATTGCGCTTCATTGAACTATACAACTGGAATTATTGATGGGTTCATAAAATAAATTTGTTTTGAATGCTGCTCAATTGACAATGGACGAGAAATTGAGGCAGGAAGCAGGCAGTTAATGGTGTTTGCTCTCTTTGCTTTGTTTTTTTTGGAGTACCTGCATTATAAGTCATGAAGCTCACTATTCTGCGAGATATTTAGGAAATCATGGGTTTTATCATGGCCCAATTGTTAGTTTTTAATTAACTTGATATTATCAATTATATTAGTCATTTTTGGAGTCAGTATTTGCATTTTCACCCCCAATATGAACATTGTACCGGATATTCGTATCTGTGATCATGGGCGTCGCCAGATTTTTTTTTTAACAGTGGGGTAAAGCATATTTTCCCACAAAAACCTTATATTATCCAGCATTTTCCCGATTTATAAATTTTTTCGAGGTTGGGCAGGGACATTTGCCCCCCCCCAAACAATCAATTAAATTAACATCAATATGACTCGCGCCTCTTTTTGTCCCTTTCCACCTTTTTTTCCCCTCCTCTTTTTGTTTTTTGCTTGTCCGGGGGGGGGGGGGGGGCTTGCCTCCCTTGTGACGCCCATGTCTGTGATACAAACATAGTTTTTGGACAGGGATCAAATGATGGATTTGAATTTAAAAGAAGAAAACATCATCTTCAAATTCTCCCTATACCATAACTTCTGGTCTGATTACGTCATGATTCTGAAACCTTGCGAAACTATTTGGTTGTTAAAAGAAAACACATTAGGGGCAATTTGGTAAAATGTGGAACAATGGTTTTTTTATCTCTAAAGTTAAACAGTCTTTGATGTTCTGTTTGAGGGCACCCTTTCGGTTGATGACGTCATCATGTATTTTGTGTTTGGCATTCCTCACGGAACTCTGCAATAAGTATTTTGCTTGTCGGTAGTAAAATCCGGTTTTTTATTTTTTTAACTCATGGTTCACATAAATTATATAAAATTTGGCCTTAAATCGCTTGCAATTTGATACCATGATGACGACATGACGACGCCACAAAATTTAAAATATCTTCGGATCTTCGGAAATGATTTCGACACCGGATGTCGTCATCTTGTCTGTAAACTGTCGTCACTCTTTTAAAATATATCAGGATCTCAACAAGTCAGACAGCACTTCCAGAGCTCTGACAAAACATATGCAGGGAGTGATTAAAAAACGCAATAGATACATGTAATTAATTTTACCTTAAAAAAGAAAGAACAAACACACTTTTCCCGATTACACCCTTTATCGAGCCCCTGGGAACTATTATACAAATGAGAAACATTCGTTAATGTGCAACATTAATTGTTTTATATCAACGCCTGAATAAATCCTTATCATCTGCTCGGCACGATCAGAGCCGCCTGAAGCGTGACCGTGCAATGGAACCTCAATTTACCGTGGATTTGCACGAATAATTCAATGACACGTGATCAGATGACGTTGTATACGCCAACACGCCCACACTAATCAGGGGACTCGTGTTATATGTGAGCAATGAGCCCGAGTCAAGGTGTTCTATCCTTTAGCGCGTCTAGTTATTGATGCGAGCTTTCTCATCACCATTTTCCAGTCTGCGAGCCGCAGGTGAGGTCTACATTCACAGGCTACAATTTACGTTATTTGGTAAGGAAACATATTTCACTTCTAAATAGCCAAGACGAATACTGGTTGTGCAGTACATTTCATTGATACTGAAAACACTGCAAAGAAGTTCTTTGTCTATCGTATAGTTTCTGCAGTGTACTGTCAGAGAAGAACGACTTTACGAAATGCGATAAATGATGGTTTCTCTTCAGAGGCAGCGGGTTCAGAGACGTTATACATGTAGTATTCGTCCTTTACTTTCTTTGAAAACGGAATTTTGGTTAGGTTTTCAGACTTGGCAAAATGTATTATAAACCTCTTGATCAATTCTACCTCACCACGTACAATTATGCAAACGACTTATAATTAAACTGTCAAAGTGTTGTTACCAGTACTTTACACACATTACGTGTTACCCGTTACAAAAGCAATAACGTGAAGGTATTTTGAAAAGAGACGAACTGCGCCTATTAAGGTATGTTTTTGGATAGAAATTATAACTGGGATCAGGAAATACAATTATATCAATATTGTCGTGGTATTATGTGATATGTGGCCCAATTTTACCTTTTCAAATAAACCTTTTTTAAATTTTAGACACTGCAGTCTTTGAGTCGTTGTGCCCTTAAAGATGGGGAGGGCGTGGACATGGCTGGTTCCTCCCCTCCTCGCTGTGGCTCTACATTTAGTGTGCTACACACCTGTGTTGTCCCAAAACTTCCCGAACGGTAAGTCTGTTTCAAAACTTCGATTAAACCAGCTTTCATAAATACCTAACACAGTTTACCCATTCCTATGTTCGAGAGCCCGTCACGTGGCCGGTTTTATACGTTTGATAAAGACCGGCATTGCTGGTCGAAATCACTTTTTCAGCGTCACATGACTCCTATGAAATTCGGTGCCTTTTAAGTAACCGTTTTATTGGTCGAACGTTCTTACCATAATATAGCTGTAGGGGTAACGTAAAGCATGAAGTAAAACTGTTAAACAAAATCGTTGGCAATTTAGAATTTTGGAATCATTTTGACTTTTCGACCGAAAACGTTTGATTTATCTACCGAAAAGGCATTTATGAATGGAAATAAATATGTGCGTGGCCGATATCAGACACTATGTTTAAGACCAGTTGGAGTCTAGATGCTGATAATTACTCGTCACGCCTTCGGCTCGGGTAATTATCAGCATCCAGACTCCAACCGGTCTTAAACAGAGTGTTTAAAACCAGCCAAGCACGCGTTTATATTCCCTTATCTTATGCGTACACGGATACACTCTATACACAAAATAAACTGTATTATGCCCATTTTATTCTCCATTGGTGAAACGCTAATGTCTAAGACGGATGTTTAAAGATACAGCGTTCGTTCAGTTTACGCTAAGATGTACTGGAAAAATCAACAAAACAATCAAGTTCCCATTTTCCCGTATTTCATAAGATATGAATTTCATTCCTTTTGAGCGAAACTTTACATTGTCGGAAAAGGGTTTTATTAGGGTTTGTCTATTAGTTCATTACGCACATACACATCATCTCGTTCACTGATTTTTGTGTATTTTTTATTTTTACTTTGTAACCAATTTTTTTTAATGTAGAAAAAGCCAGCAATTGATGTATTTCCAATGTCTCTATCACTGAAACACAGCATTAACAAAGAGAAAAAAAGAGGAATGTCTTTGTGATCCCCGGATACTGAGTGACCAGTTACTACGACATTCTTATCTTGAGCTTGGATTTTGTCTCGTTTGTTCGGTTGTACGTTGATTCTGCAACAAATGCTTGGGTTTATGGTCTTGAGTTCTGTGTGATCCTAACAACCACAGTCAAAACACATCTAGCTCTACTTTGGGAGAAATGACTGCAAATAATTTCGTTACCTAAAACACAGGTCGATCCTGAAAAGATTTTTATTCGCTGTATAGCAGGTCAAGGTTATTTTCCTGTAAATGTAATCATTTCGACGATTTTTCAGTCGCACCAAAAGGTAGCGCTTAATGTGGCTGTATAGCCGCATTTTGACTTGATAAATCCTGTTTATTTTCCTTTTGTCTTGCAAATTTGATCACCTACGCACTTAAATGCCTCATTGAAGCGTTAGCATTGTGACTGCTTGTAATGGCCTGGTAGAGAAGTACTCAATCGGAGCATTGACAGATGGGCTAAATAATGGGGAGAGAAAGACAAAAAGATCGGATGTTTTCTCACCATTAGTTGTCTTCGGTTCCGAGCATGATTTATAATGGACCCGTCAGTTTTAATTAGTCGAACATAAGCCGGGAGCAAAATCACTTAAGTGGGCTCTAGGCCGATTTGTTTAACGAGAGCAAGTAATTAATTCAAGTCTGATAACCATGACAAGCTGTGCTTTCATATTAACAGAAAAATCAACAATGGCCAGGGTTATAATGGAACTATTTGTTATATGAATGGCTAGTCTTAATGCGTACACAAACAATAATTAGGAAATATATGAAAAGACGCCTTCGACAAGGAACGATGATGGAAATGACAATATTGAACTGTAATCGCGTGACTACTGGTAATCGGAGCGGCCAGTTGTCCAATTCAATATTGTCATTTCCAAGTGTGCAATGCATTGAAGTAAGGGTGCACATATCAGAACCAAGGGCGTAGCCATTGACCTTTAACAAGGTTATTCATGACCAAACGTTTCATGCATACTAAAATTAATAGTAAGTGCCAGGATGTAGGAAATACATTCTACATAAAAGTGCCACCAAGCGGCGATAGAACCCCCAAGTAAGGAACATAAAATGTTCCTTGCTTTACGTAAATTCAAGTTGACTCTCAACCGAATGGGATACATTTCTGCTGTCACACAAGGTCAGGTTAATAAAAGTTGAAAACAAGAACAATACCTATATACCAAACGCTTGCTCAATTGCTTGAGTGCAAATAATAATGAAAACGATCCAAACCAACAATCTCTCATTGCGGAAATCTGCTCCCAACTGTACACAACATCCTTCGGACGTTCTATCATCTCTATCAAGGTTTTGACTTTTGAAGTAACACCATTTCTCCAAAATAGCTTGGTTTCGATCGATTCAACACTATTATAATTTAATTCAGTTTGATTTCCAATTGGCGTTTTCAATTTTGAAAACTTACGAAATATACTTTCCAGTGATGGCATTAAACAGGCACTACGAAACTACAGTCGACAAAAACCACTCCCCTCCAATTGCTAGTCTAATGTACCCAAACAAACAACTTTCGACTGCGTTAGTTTGGTTTTGGTTTCTTGATCAGTACAGACCAGGCGACGGACGGAAGCTTTTTTCTCCTGACGTCGTGATTATCCTGTGAAGGACAAAATACATTAATTTAGCAGGCAGATCACTACCGATCGGTTGCTCTTTCATCTTGACTGTACGTTATTAGACGGAAGTATTCGCCCCCTGAGAACCCGTCCACGTTCATTATTCATACGAATCTAGATCGCGGCTGATCTGTTAACTTCAAGTAATTCGGTCACGTCTTGTCAGTTACCGTCAGCACCACCACCGTTATTGTACAAGTACCGCCCATTTCTCAGGGAAATCTGGACACACAGCCACGACAGAACAAAACGTTCGTGACAGTGGCGTAAATCCGTGTCGGCGAGTGGGAGAAGTGGGGTGTGTTGGTGTTTGTTTATGGTGTAAATCGAGGACACACACGTGCAGCGTCATCGGCGATTTCTAATTCATTCGTATGTTGTGAGATTCGTCTCATCTGAAGATTGGCGTTGAGCTGAAACAGCTAATACTGTTTTTTAGATTCGTTTGCGCGCATTATCATTTATATGATATCAGCCCGTGCATTCCTTGGTTTGTAAGGGAGGAGACCGAAGGGTTAAAATACGAACACTTTTAAGTTGTTTAATGTTTGCACGTGATTTCGATGTCCCTTGTAATGAGATGAATCCATAAGAGAAGACATTTATATCCGTTTAACCTTTAATTCGGTTAGGAGTCAAAGAAAACTGAGTCGTGCACATTAAATGATTTCCATGGTCAACTTTCACGAACATTTTCATATTCGCTAACGTGAAAAGGTGGCTCTTTAACACCAACATGCATTAATCTTTTGAAAATGGTAAATAACATTTCCCACTTTTTACTGCCCGTATCTTAGAATAGTTTGTAGTAACAGATAAAGAGTCGAGATTAATGTCCTATGCATGTACGTAAAGTTCGTTCTTTAGTAAAAAGATATGTAAAGACGCACTAGCCACCCGTACCTCCTTCAGACGTAGATAGCTTTTGTCATTACGGTCTTTCATTCTACAGGTTTCCCCAGCTGGTTTAACTTATGTCACACAAATTCCTAATAAAGACATTTTAATTTTGTCCCCGAGCATTGTTGAAGCCCTTGAAATTGAGAATTGAGCTCGACGATGTTCGGGGACAAAATTAAAGTATTGTTATAGGGAACTTGGGTGATATGTGTTAAAATGACTGGGAAACGTACCTATTCCGGACAAACTTCCGACTGTTCTCAATGGTTCATGTTCAGCGACTTTCAATTCATATTGCATGTTTCTGTTGCAATAATGTCAGTGTAAGAATTCCCCCCCCCCTCAGGGTGCGGGTAATTCCGAACGACGCAATTTTTTTTCTTTCTGCCAGCCATAAGGACCTAAAGGACTATTGACAAAATAATCAAAAATATGATTATGTTGAGGACTTGACTTGAACTTTGTTTGGCGTATCAACCTTAGAAAATGCCCTCTTAGCTTGTTGTGAGAAGCCAAAAAGGAAAGATATTCGGCATTCCCCCACTCTCCCCTACTAGATGTACAGTATGAATACTTGGGTGGCATGACGTCACAGTATCAAGGTAGTCGGTAACATGTTTTCTTTTGTCATTTTGCTTTCATCACCAGAATTTTGTAGTGCTGTGCAGCTCAACTCTTCTAATCAGGTCGTCGTCATAAGTGATGGAAGTCTCACTCTTTGCCTCAATGTGACTGCTCCGCCAGGGACGGCCATCAGAGCAACTCTTCATAGGTCTGTGGCTATTGTTTTCGACTACAGTGTCTGTGCCTTCTCCTTTGATGGGTTTGAGTTTTTCTCCACTAGGTGTCGGGAAAAGATTGAGGTGTTCTCCCCTAGAGAGTTACTAACAATGGTGCCTCCTTACAACCCGGGAAGCCGACCTAGGTTCAGCTTTGAAGCCGTCTCAAATGAACGTAAGTAGAATTCAAATTGCTGTTTTCGTGCGTTGCACCAGATAGGACTATGAGCTAATCAACTAACACAGTCGCAGCGGTGTTAAAATTTGATGGAGTATATCGAGCCTTCTGACTAATTGTGAGCATTTTACCAGGTTCCCCCCCCCCCATTTGTTTGTATAAAGAGTGCCCTTCTTTTGTCAATAAGTGCCCTTTTTCTGAACAAGTGCCGTGTTGAAAAAAAGAAGTGCACATTTAGTTTCAGCCGCCTTTACGAGTGCCTTTTCTTTAATTTCGCGCACGTATCGCCTTGAGCAGCGCCGTATATGGTCCAGTTAGTGTGCATACTCGTCGGTTTTGAACAGCGCCCCCATCATGGTACAATGCCCCCCCCCCCCACACACACACACATACTAAAATTTGTATCGTTTTGAAGACATTTCTTGTTCTCGTGTAGTAAATTTTTCGAGTTTGAAATTGTAGTTTCAAAATGCTCTCAAATAACAAGAATTAATTTCCTTTGCTGAAATTCGGGCTTAATATCCTTCTTCTAAAACACCCTTCCATTTGCGACGATTTTTTTTTCTGTTTTATTCAAAGATACAATCAACAATTAAATAACAATAATCTATGTACATGTACAATTAATCGTCTGCTCTATAGGTACTTCTGAATTACACACAACAAAAAATTCTAACAAACAGTTTACTCGACATGACGAAGCTGGAGTTCCTGCTCAAAAAGGATGATAAGGTTGGAATACTGGCCAAATTTAAAACGACTCACTGTTTGTTTACCTATATTAATTAAAGTATTGAGAAACCGATAACTATTGTATGTTTCCCCGACCCCGAAAAGAATATTTTCCACAAACAGACTGATCGATTTGCCATACTTAGATGCAACAATCTTTTCAATTTCGTTCCAAAGGGGTTTTACCATTTTACACGACCAAAAAAAAGTGTTCAATGTAATCAATACTATCATGACAAAATGTGCAATTTTCTGAATCACTCTTCTTCCTTTTGCAAAGCCAGACTTGCGTGAGGTAACAGTTATGAATGATTTTCCAATTGATTGAAAATGACTTACTGTCTGGACAGCAATAGTTGAGCCTCTTCCATATTACATCCCAAACAAAGTTATGAGTGGGGAATTTGTTTTTCCAAAATGTCTCTGCTATGGGGATAGTGAATTTTGTGTCAGTAAATGTCTTCCTGATGTGCTTCATATTCATCTTAATTAGCTCATTTCGAACATCAATATTAATGTTACCAATCGTTTCTTTGGAAAGTTGTTTCCATTCCACGGGAAGGGAATTAATGACAATATAATATTCCAGTAAGTAGTTACCCTTGTTGCCAATGATTTGCCTAATCTGATCAGCGGTCATGAAATTACGAATCAACGTACCTTGGAATATTGTGTGCATGTCTCCATGACACGGTTTGTCAGATCACATCACCCGCACACGCCCACACCCAGACACACACACTATTTTAATTTTTAGGAGGCCAACTGTCCGGAGAAAAATAGGGTCTACATTTCAGCATGGATGTGCAAGTGCCCTTTTCACCCCCCCCCCCCAATCAAAATGACCTTGCTACGTCACTGCTACAAAACAAATGGTGATTTTGCAAACCCATAAACATTCATTTATATGACACTATATTTCTAAATACCGTTTTATTCTCCATTTTGTTTACTTAGAGGTATGCGGCAATGGCGACCATCTCTGTACTTTCAACAACGGATCGTTTTGCATCGGCGAAAATACAACTTGCCTCTGTTTAACAGATGGATATTGCTATGACTGTGAGTTCAAATTTTAAAGTGCACTATCAACCAATAGAACCGAAACTTCAGAGGACAACACTTACGAACATGTACAGAATAATGAACAGAATTTTGGACTTTGTTAAAAAAAATTAACGAGAAAGAGTGACAGGACGTACATATTTGACAGTTGTCACAGAAACAAAAAACGTTACCCTTCTACGGAAAGTCCATATCTGTATCTGTGTCTGTAACATACTTTGCAAACTGCTTGGTGTAATATCCTGCACATGACACACACGCGTTACTTAGCAGCAAGTTAAATACGAACCCCTGTGTGATTGAAAGAATATGTGACCTACTGAGGCAAAATGAGGAATGTCCTCCCTAAAACCTTGTTTTGAGTAATTGATGCCTGAAGTCGGATATACTGGAAAAACATCTCAAGATCGATATTGAATTGTTTTTTGAGTAGCCAAGGTATCCAAGATTCACACTATGCATTTTTTGTTGGGAAAAAATACCCACAGAAAGGGGAAAATCTGAAAAACGTTTTTCACTGCCGTTGGCGGCGCAATGGGTTTCTTATTTTTGAAAGCCTTTTTTTCTCGAAATGAAGTTAGCGAAACTTGGGAGGACACTGTTGAAGTTCCTGCCGCAAATCTTTGGAAAGAATTAAGCTACATAAATAAATTTGATATCATTGGAAAGCCAATGATTTGCAGGTCACATATATTTCTATCGTAGATTTGAGACCTGAAGACGGTTAAACTTTGTGGGCCCCTAATATCTACCGATAGTTCGTTCCATTGGGCTGTTCTTTCTAGGCAAGAAAGACAATTTGTAGCAGTCCTTTTTGATATAGGACGTGAGAATGACAGGCCTGAATTTTGTCGATTCTTCTTTGATTGGTATTGCCGGAGAACTTGTTTGTCACATTTGTACACGCGGATAAATCGGACACAAGGCCGTCTCGCTCTCGCTCTCTTCAAGCTAACTTGCTTAGTGTGAAGGTTTGACATGCTACCCACAGGCCTTACTGAATAAAAAGAAGTATTTTTTTGAACTAATTAGCGGCGTCGCGAGAACATTTTCAATAGGGGGTGTCGTAACAAATTTGCCTACACGTTTACGTACAAAACATCCGTCAAGCGGCCAAAAAACAGGGTCCTGATATTTGCCGGTAGAAAAAATATGGGAGTTGTGAAAAGTAAAATTTACCGCAAACTTGCAACAAAATATTTGACGAGCAAAAAAACCCAATCCTCTGATATGAAAATTTGCCGACAACAGTAAAATAATACTAAAGGCCCTAAATTTTTATCGAACCCTAAATTTGTATTATTTGTCGACAACAATTATGGATTTGCCGACATAAATTTTGAATGGGGAGGCTTCCCCTCCCCCCTCTTGCGACGGCCCTGGAACTATATAATATAATAAATTGCGGCTTATTATGTCGTTGCAGATGAAGAAGTATGTCCTTACATAGTTTTGGACTCAAATCAAGCCGTCAGTATTTCTGAGGAAGTTGGACTGTATTCAGAATGGAGTGGAGACGTTACCAAGGGAACCAGTTGCTGGGCTGTTCCGGTGCTATATGACATTGTCATTAACGTCACTTTTCAATCCTCTGTTGACCAATTTTTTACAAGAATTACTCACAAGACATTTGAAGGAGTTTTGATTAAACATTACGACAGCTTCGTAGTTCCAAGAACGGCCTCTTTCGTCAACGGCTTTGGGTTAATCATCCTCAGCGCAGCCCTTTACAATGAAAGCTCCAATTCAACATTCTCTTTCAATCTACAGAAAAATCGATTCAACATCGACTATTTTGGCGGCTACCAAGAAGGTAGAGGCAATTTAAGAATTCGAAGACACCGGTTTTTTTTCAGTATGCTCAATGTACACCTGCGTATAAACAAAAGCTCGATTCAATGTTTGTTTCACCTAAATGTTTGTGATACAAGACAAATTTGTTTTACCGTAAATGTTAAGAAACAAAATTGACCGCTCGATTGTGGTGAATATAATCGTTGCATTTGGCATTGATGGCTTTTACACACATAATCACGACCCAGCTTTTGGTATTGACGCGTGAAGACATTAGTGGGAAACACCCCATTTGTTACAATTCAACTCGCGTCGAGCTTAAGCTCTGAGATATATTTCTTGAAGGAATAAGTATTAAAGTTATTCACCATCACTGTAGATGTATAGCTGAGGCTGCATAACCGGCTACCATTATTATAAGGGAAACAAAGATGTGAACTTTCTCGTTTGTGTATATTTTATCGCTTCTCAGAAATTAATTCTGGACAAACAGAAATGTTTGACTGTAGCACCAACTTTTTTTTTACACGGTCATAAGTTACCTGTCGACCTGATGAATTCAAGTGCGGTACCGGTGGGGTTATATGTTACGATTCTACCATTGTATGCGATGGGCGTCAAGACTGCGACTTATCATGGCGACATGATGAACGGGACTGTGGTGAGTATGTCGGGAAGTGCCAGAAATTCACTGTTCATTTATGTGTTCAATTATGCATTCTCAACTGGTCAATAGAGAATTGCAAGTGAGAGTTATTGAATGGAAGTAGCATGGGCGATTGGAAACGACGACCCTACTGACAAAGACTTCAATGACAACATCTACGACAATGATAAGAACCAGCAACAGTAAATAAAGCTAGCAGCCATCGTACTTCCTTGCTCTATCAATCGATAATGTGCATCAATGGTGCCTTACACCACTACAGTCAGTGTTCAATTTTTTTTTTACTGCTTGTGGTTATGCCAGATTACTGTGAAGACGATGACCAAATCATTCTTCCGAGAAACTCGTCATACGACATCAAGTATCCAGCCGGTCAGCTGAGAGGAGATCCAACTAGCCTAACATCCACAAGAGCCAGCTGCTCCTGGACAGTGCAAGCCAGTAGCGACCAAGTTATCCGGATTCGCTTCCTGGTTCCAACGACACACTCTTTCCTTAAATGGTTTCAATTGAATTTCTTCGTGGGGTCACCGTGGCAGCCAGTTGCAGCCTTTTGGAAGTTTGACAAGTCGAGTATGGTGATTCACAGCTCCGAGGTCCGAATCACGTTCTCGAAGAGTAATTTCGAATATCCTTCTCGACTGTACCTGCGGATTGAATCTGAATATCCAGGTACAAAGATGTACAACCATCAACAATCTTGTCTGTTCTGTTTTCCGTATTCATACATGTGTAAGTCTGTTGCAATTTGGTCCACTCAACCAATTCATAGTCAATCATTATGCACAATTTCGCGCATTTGAAACTAGGCACAAATTTTCTATCGCTAACCATAACACTTGATCAAAGTAATCATGGGCAAACTGAATGTAACAATTAATTTTTGCCTTGGCCAATCTCTTAGTGTTTTGTAAGAATGAGACGGAATTCAGCTGTGAGCCCGATAATGTCTGCATCCCGATCAGCAAGAGATGCGATGGATTCCCAGATTGTGACAGCAAAGCAGATGAAATAGGATGTGGTAAATACATGTAAAGAGTTTTACTTAAGTTTGTTTGTTTGTTCACGTGAGCCTCAATAATCAAATGTATTTAACAGGAATATTGTAGAGGGATGAACAATCTTGGCAACGTATGCCACGATTAAATCATAAGTCAACCGCTGGGCGGTCCATCACGAACTCAACAAGCGTCTGTATAGTTTCTCATGCAGGACTGATATAGGCAAACGATATAGAAAAAATGCCGCTATTGAAGCCGCCCTTTCATTGTCTTTCTTTTTCTTCTTTCTGCAAAAGGGGAATGTTATTCAAACCAATTTCGGTGTTTGACGTCTGACGGACAGTCAACGTGTGTGGACAGTAGCTATATATGTGACCAGCAGCCAAATTGTCCAAATATGTACGATGAACTGAATTGTGGTGAGTTTTTGTCTTTTGAAAATTAGAAAAAAAGGCCAGGTAAACATTGATTTGAAATGCTGTTATGTTTGTTGCAACGAAAACGGGAGAAGCTTCTGTTATTAAACCGTTCAGAACCATTTTTTTTACAACTTAATTACACAACAGTATCACATTTATATTCCCCTCTCAAAATAGCCATTTTTTCTACAATTGGTTCCTTTATAGGCCCTTATGTTTTAAAACTGACTTTCTTTATACCCCCAACAAAAATCGATTCTTATAACCTTTTTTGTTGCAGCGAAACGATGTATAAGTTTGACGAACATGATCAAGTGTAATATTAATTTTGTTGATTTTGTAATTTTTCTTAGTTGGCAATGACAATCTCTTAGTGTATACTTGTCTTCTTTAACAGCCATGCGGTTACGAAGGCCGATTTCTAAAGGTTACGTAATACTTTATTTTGAATGAAACAACATGCACACAGATATGTTTACGTTCGCGGGCGCAATCTTTGAAAATCAATTTCTCCGGTTTGTAATACCGTGTCTTCATGGAACTTTCAGGGCTTGTTTCCCTTATAATGATCCAACTATGTGCTAAAAATCGTTTTGATATGTTCAGTACTTTTCGTTGAAATTGGAAAAATAGGACTGGCTACGTGCATTTTTATAGGTTGTTAACACTGGTGTTTGCAAAATCTGTCAATCTGTTCAAGCCTCACGAAATTTAATAAGGTTCTTATCCATTATGGTGTGCAGTAAACATTTGCAGTATTGCCTCCTTCACGAGTTACTAATTAAAGATATAGTCCATCATTTGTAATTTGTGCATTTTGTTCGTTTGAAGCAACAAAAGTGCTCAAAGTCTAAAGAAGGGTGCTGAACAACTGACCTGATGAATTTTCAGCTCAGCTTCAGCTATATATTTCGAGAAAAACAGCATTCTATGATCTCAATTTTAAATCAAAAGTTGCTGAATCTTGTTTTGAATTGGGTCTGAATCCGACGAATTATAGCAACCGCGCGCGCGTGTGCGTCGTGTCAACGCTTGCGCGCGCTTCGCCGAATAAACTAACGAAGTACTAACGGAAATTTCCAACGGTGTTTCTTAAGAAGCACCGTTGGAAAGGCCTTCTTTCGTTGATTTCATAAGAATGACAGCTTGCCAGAAAGAATAATTTCACAGGGAGTTTAGTACCCTTACTATCTTTCAACCAAGTATGTTTTTCAACAATAATTACGCCAGTTACTTTTTGGATAGCTGCAAATGATGGACTCTGGCTTTAATAAATATCACCCTTTTTGCCGACTTCCATTGGTCGATACCGAGATCCACGCGAAGCACGCGAGTCACACTAATGGATATGCTAATATGCACTTCGTCGTTGTTGCCCCATAATCAGCCAACCTGAAAACCATGCACGTGAGTTAATTTGGTCGGCAAAAAATCCTTGTCGAAATTTACCTTGGAGATAGTTCAAGAAGTAACACAAGCGTTTGCAACAACAGATTAAATTGAAATTCGGAATATACTTATAGATGATATAAGTGTTCAACTACTTGTGAAATAACAACTGAGGGGATTCCTAGAAATGGAGATAAATACATAGATTTTGGGACGTTTTCGAACAAGTTCTTCCCGACTTTAAGGTCTGCTTTACCAGTAACCAGCATTGACGTTTCGGCATCGATGACGTCGATTTGTTCACCGCCATGAAGTCTAGAATTTCTTCTTCCGTTATAATTTAACATTTCAATCATACTGAGAATATTTTCTGAGAAACACAATATTCAAAAAGCCATGGGGGTGCATACGTAATCGGATAAACTTAAAAACGGCGACGCTTAGGCCTTTGCAAGCACATGGCTGTTAAGGTCTGTTCATACTTTGTGACAGCGCATTTTAGACGTCACGGCAGGTGCTATGATTCCGTAGGCGTAATACACTTTAACTCCAGCGAATGTTTGGTGACAAACTTGCTTCGTAGTCGCATAATTCGCGTTAAGCATGAGCCGGCGTAGAGTGAATTTATATATGAGCTCATACATTGATAATTAGGAGAGGGACAGGTCACGTGTAGGGTTTAACCAATAAAAGGGAAAAGGGGTCCAATTTTCACAGGAGTCAGATAATCATATTGTTTTATTTCGGCCAAGCACATATTTATACCCTTATTTATACACCAATCATGAGTGCTTTATACCAAAAGATCCACTTCAGTTTGGATACGAGTTGTAAATTTGGCTGCATGTCTAGATATTAGACATGGATGTCAATCAATGCAACATAGGCCTACTGTCTTCTATCAACAACTTACCACAAATTGCCCACGCTCTCTTAGTATTAAATTGTTTTTTCCCCACAGCTATATGTGGTCCACCTGTCGATCTATCTGACGGTGGTATCTACCAGCTGACCTCACCACACTCATCAGATTCTCAGCCAATAACATGTGTGTGGTTGGTCTATGCTTCTACTGGCCACCTCATCAACATCCGCGTCACCGACACATCACTCATCATTTCAGGGAACATCCGTGTAGGCTCTGGCCACGACTCAAGTAACGAGAGCTCGACAATCATTAACAAATCAATGGGCAAGATTCCCGAGGGTTTTACGGTTCATTCGGGAAAGGCTTGGATATCGTGCGTTGTGTCAAATAATAACTTCTCTTTCGAAATCACACAGTTGAGTGAAGTAGGTGAGTATAACACCTGTCGCGCTTTTTAAATGCTTTTAGTTACGTTCGGGGTATTAAGGTAGACTTATACAGAAATAATACTCGCATTTTGCTCTTTTACACCCGATATTTTGTTTTATGGGTTTTAATAATAAATTATGGTCGCATAAAAAAAATAAAAAGGCAGAATGCACCAAAATAAATTGACCTACCTCGGTTTCATACAAATTGCAGTATGTACGATACGTGCAAAAAAGACAGTCTGGATTGGTCCCATCGTATGTGGGTACTGCGTCGCGTGCGTATGGTGCAAAGTACGTCAGGCGTTGTCGGTAATTATGTGGCCAAGGGTTCCTCCCAATGGTCTCCCCAACTTTTCTTTTGTTACCGTTGAAGGGGTACTCGTGCAAAGAGTTTATACCATAAACATCTTAATGGCTGCGTTCGCGATACTCTTGATACGCTCAAGATAATGTCAAGAGTAGGAAAATGCGTGTGCATTGCACGGGGTCACATCGCTCGAACGGTTAATGTCAACTGCTATAAAGCAGACAATGGCTATCCGCTCCTTTCACAAGTACCCCCTCACCGGCAAAAACTGTACAGTTAGGGGTGACCGACCGACGCCATCTTGCCTGACTGCGATTCATTTGCCGCGAAGCGCGGCCACTGCGTGTATATAGTACAAATCCCCTGGTGTACGTGCGGCACACACAAGGAACGGTGCGCGTCAACCAGCGAAATGTCCCGCCCATGGAACGTCGTTGCTATGTCAAAGGGCGCCCTCTTTTGTCGGCGCACGGAGCCCATACTAGCAGAAGGTAATTCTTCCTTAATAAAGCTACACCTGATGCGCCTATGCTGGTACGTTGTGTGTTTTTGGATCATTGTATTTGACCTTTTCCGACGTATTTTTATAAACAATATATACTCAGTGTTCTCCGAGTGCTTACGAGAAAACATCGACAAGCTTACTTAGGTGGAACTTGACCCTACCACCTGCTACTTATACCGCCTCCATCTGCTGATCAATATTGTAATGATTTGCATTTGAACGGTTGAGGGCAGTGTATGTCGTCGACCTCCTTCTCAGGCCACTAACTGCGGACGCATCGGCCTAAACACGAGTTTCGGGGAAGTGCAGGCGTGTGGGCACTCCACCCTTTGAAAATGTTTGTGAAAGTACATGGATAAAATTTCAGACATAAATATGCCCAATAAAGAATTAATCCGCTCACCTCATTCTCACTATGTCGTCAATCTACAGTACAGTGCAACACCACAACCGAATTCGCCTGTTCGTCTGGAGTCCAGTGCGTAGCTGCCGACCTACGCTGTGATTCTTTACGCGACTGCGATGATTATTCTGACGAGTTGGGATGCTGTAAGTAAACGTCTTTTGAAAGGGAGGTTGAATCTATACTCTTCGTCTTCCTCTTTTGTTCAGGTCGGGAGTTTAGCTTTTAGGTGATCTTTGATCCAAAGAGGACCATCTATTAAGCGCTGAAGTTCAGTAGCCACTCCAAATCTTAATAAATCGCTTGTCGGGCTACACTGTCAAACTGAAATAGTTAAAAACTGAAAGCTAGAGACTTCCCCCATTAATCCTAAACATGCCATGCCTCTCAATCCCTGTTAAATGGTGCTCTGATTGGGCTAGCAGTAGCAGTAGACAGGGTTTCTTTTTTTTTTCATTTCTATTTCACAGGGCTTCTGACATTGTGTTTTCTTTATGAACAGTAACGTGCAGCAAAGACCAGTATTTGTGTGGTCATCAGGGCGCATGTGTGGATAGTCAGCAGATCTGTGACATTTCCAATGACTGTGGCAACTTTGAAGATGAATGGGATTGCTGTAAGGATTTGTTTAAAATCACATTTACCATAGCCCATGTGAAGAGTGAAACCTAGAGGTGTTATTGTGTTGTTCTGTTGTCTACCTTGTTTTATTTGCACGTTTATCGTCATGCATACATTTCAGAAGTATGTCAACCAATGAGACCTCACGCTGCATGTGTTTTGTCCACTTTTTTTTTAAAAGTGTGCTGTTCATATCTTTTGGAACAGATTCTACATGTGGCCCAAGTCTAGTTAATGTCAACATCTTCGCCGTCCTATCTGTGCCCTCGATCCAAAATAGCATATACGTGTGCGTTTGGCAGATTACCAGTGACCTCAACACTTACCTCACTATGGAGGTTCTTACCATGGAAATAGGACCTCATAGCTACATAACCTTTGGTAACGGGCACGAGATATCTTCTATGCTCGCCAAAGAAACAGACATGCAAGTTGCTGGAACCCTTTATCTCTTCGATGGAAATCAGATGTGGATGGTGGCACATATCTTTAGCGATGCATTCGATTTTGAGGCTACGCTAAATGCCGGAACGGTCAGAGGTGAGTTTCCGACGAAAGAGTTGTATTGCGTACTATTGGCTACTGAATCTCATAAAAGTTCCGGGTCAAGTTGGACCCTGAATCCGAGTAAGATTTGACCTGTCACTATTCTGGGTCGAAATGGCGGCTTTTCGTGTCATGATAGTAAGACTTTTCCGCGGTCAAAAAGACAATCTTACGCGTGAAAATTACACTTTTCCAGATCAAAGGGCCCGGGAAAGTGACGCATTCCTGGGTCATTTCGACTCAGTAATGGGTCAGGTCAACGAATCAGACCCTGGAAGTTGTAAACGTGCATATTTTGGTATTTGGTCACATTTGGCAGTAAGTTGTGCGTCCAGACTTCTTGCATGCAGAAACAGAGAAGTGAGAGAGTCGCAGCATGAGACGCACACAAAACTGATTAAAACCATTCCTCCAGTAACATTTGAACAACACTGCATATAAACGGTCACATCATAGTGGAAAAGCTACTCTGTGTTTTGCCGACTTTCCCGTCTGTAATGAACATACGGCTCTGTATTTCATTTTCAAAGGTTCTTGTGACGCCGAGAGTCTTCAGAGCGGTTCCAAGTGCGTGCCTGGCAGTTCACGATGTAACGGTAGAGCAGATCTACCAGACTACTCGGATGAAGTGGATTGCGGTAAAATATATTCACCTGCACGAGAAGAGTATCTCCTTGACTGAATATCTCTCTTTCTCTCTTTCTCTCTTTCTCTCACCACTTTTAAGATAGCTTGAGCCGTTATAATAAGTATTTCCTCTTTTGGAGACGTTTTAAAGTTTCATTACGATCATTTGAGGTACTAGCAGGATGCAGCGCTTCTCGCGGCCCCAAGTGGGCGTGGTAAGTCATGGATGCTGGCGATCGCCACAGTTTTCATCATCGACATTTATGTTTCACGTATTAGCGATACGTTTGGGAATGTTTCTATAGAGTAATCTTGTAATATTTAACTATTCAATGTCTAAAAGAAACAAATATACCGACAGGCAAAACAAAACACATATTTTTTCATGTGCCAACCGTTACTTCAGAGGACAGTGGAATCGGGGCATTATATGCAGTTTAGGACATGTATGTATAATCGACCCTGTCCAGGCCTTGGACAAAAAAAGTGACACGCAGAAAAATAAGACATCAGACACACCGACTGCATATTCTCTTTTAATATAGGATAGTTGCGATTGAGATGAAAGAGAGAAACCGGATGTAGTGAGGGATATATACAAAATTACAGCTTTGATTTAATTTATTTTTCTCTAAATGCAGGTTTTTGTGGAACGACCAATTTGAATCTGTCAACTCACAAAGAAGTGGTAACAGTGGAAGTTGCCTACGGGCTTGACGGATATAAACAGCAGCAGCTTGTAACAGTCTCCGTACGCGACAACCGAGATATCCCCCTGGTTATCGCTAACACTACATCCACCATCAGTGAGTGCGTGTGGAAGGTTTCCTCGTCAGTGGGAACTCGCATAGAGATAACTGTTGCCAGGTTTGTCGGTACTAATCTACGCATCGGTAACGGCCACGACCCTAGTGAGGGCGCACTAATTTGGTCCCATTCTGAGACTTTGTTGTCTCGCAAGACACTGTTTTCTTCGGGTTCAGCTGTATGGATAACAACTGGTTTGTACAGTTACCATTGGGTACCTTACCAGCTACAGTTTACCCTCCGTAGCTTCACAAGTATTGGTAAGCAGTACCATGCAAGGAATTCCGTTAATTAATCTTATGTCGTGAAATATTTGTTTTCTATAAAACTACAATGGTATGAGGGTGGATAGTTGATATACGGGGGCTAATATCGACTATCACCCGGAGTAAACCATGGCATAGTTACTTACTTTACCTCACACATATTCAACAAAATCTAGTCGAGTTTCGGATCAATTATTTTGGCAAAACGTTGCTTTTCGTCTGCCTCTGTGAAAGGATGTTCTATCCCTAGGACATTCTGTCCTAGCTTTGCCTGGATATTGATATTGTGTTCCGAGGAAATAGTGTCTCTCCCACTAGCTATCTGTCCCCTATCCGCATGTCCCTATTCAGAAAACGTCACATTAAATTCCGGGTCCGACACGTATATTTCGTGCGTCTTTATAATATAGACTTCTTTCAAATGAATCCACATTTCTGAGGATAGAATTTCTTTTTTCTGTGTTATCTGTGTAACCCCCCCCCCCGAAAAAGTAAGTCAATACTGCTATGAAAAACATTCATTTCGTCACACACACAAATGAAGGAGAGCAGAAGAGTTGCAAAGTTCACGAATGTAAACAGTCCTTCATTATTGTCGAACCAGGACTGCAGGGCAACCAAAGGCAGACCGTAAATAGGGCCTACTTTGACCAGGTTGTTCTGCCTGACCGCAGGCTTTTTAAATCGAGAAAATACATTACCTTAATTTGAAAATTGTATTTGTAATCAGATTGTGACGAGGGGCAGTTCGCATGTACTTCAGGAACTATGTGCCTGGACCAGTCTTCGGTCTGCAACGGGATTCTCGAGTGTCCAACTTACGCAGATGAACTCTCTTGCAGTAAGTAAAGGCCTACCTTCTGTACCCTTTAATATAAACCGCATACCTCAAATCAGACGCAAAGGAAAACACGCCACAGTATTGTATGGTAGATTCGTTTCAGACTTTAAAGTGAACGTTTCATACATGCATCGGATGGAACTACCACCCAGTGTTGTAGTCTTTTTTTCCGAGTACCGAGTACTAAGGTTACCGAGCACGAGTACGGGTACGGGTGCTTGCACTTCTGAGTACAAGTACAGGTCTCCAAATACGAGTGCTTGAACTTACGAGCACGAGTGCGAGTACGAGAATTTCCGAATACGGCCATACGGCAAATGGTTCATTGGGCGTAATTGGCCCAGGCCCAGTCAGACCGATATACAGACCCAATCACGGCTAGGTGTTTAAATACGTTTGTCTGGACGCCTACAGAGGAAAATCAGGAAACCTAGATTTCTCCGCAAGCCAATCAACTATTTCAAAGTGAAAGTATCGATAAAAAAGGCCGTGGTAAGTCAAGTTATACTTTTTTTCTCGAGTACTGCTATTCGAGTACGAGCACTTTGATGATCGAGTACGAGTACTGTCATTAATAATTTCGAGTACGAGTGCTTTGACATTCGAGTACGGGTACGAATACCCTAATTAAAAAAAGTACTCAAGTAGTACTCGAGTACGAGAACCGAGCACGAAAACCGAGTACGAGTACTACAACACAGCTACCACCCCTTCCTCTATATACTGCCCTGCCCAAACGACACCGACTCCTTCACCAGTTCGAAAGAAAACTTAACCCTTAAGTGACTTTTGAGGCTTCACTTTATAACGACAATATGTTATGGCTTTCGTTTCGATAGCGAGTTGCCAGGAAGAAGAATTCCCTTGCTCAACAGGAGAGTGCATACCGATCGATAACGTGTGCAATCGGTACTCTGACTGTCCGAAGCGGAATGATGAATTCAACTGTGGTAAGTCCAGCTAAAAAAATGTTTTGTGTAAAATGTACTTGCTTAATGAAAGTAAGCACATTGATCGATCTTGACAAGGGCTTGATGCTATTCTAACGAACATACATCTACTGCTGTACGGATGAGAGAATAAGGTCCGATAGTCTGAATTGACAATAGGCCTAAGGTTCGATAGTCCGAATGGACAATATTTTTCGATATTCCGAATTGACAATATGACTATATTGTCGATTTGGACTATCGGAGCTAATTGTCGATTCGGACTATCGGGCCCGATTGTTCATTCGAACTTTCGGACCTTATTTTGATTTCGGAATAATGAGCCTTCGGACTAGTGAGCCTTATTTTCGTTTCGGACTCTTGAACCTTCGGACTATTGAAACTTCAAACTAATGAGCCTTTGGACCAATGAACCTTCGGACTAATGAACCCTCGGACTATTGAACCTTCGGACTATTGATTCAAATGTTCGGATTAACGAACCTTATTTCATTTTCGGACTAACTTATGGGAAGTTTGTGCACTCGGACTCTCGAACCTTAGGACTCTAGAACCTTCGGACTAAAGAACCTTCGGACTAAAGAACTTTCGGACTATCGGTCGGACCATACAGACCCCAGTGCGCAGTGGTATAATTCCCTTTGAGCAGGCATTCATCAGTGTGGGACATACTGATGGATCTTCAGTAGTAAGAAAGCCCGGCATGGGTTATGTGTTTACTTAATGCACCCATAAGGGCACCAGAAGGAATAGCGCCTTCACACAATGAAGACACTAATACTAACAGGACCAATGCTTATTAAATGTTGCTGGTCCTAATAGCGGGCCAAGCCTGTAGACCTTTATCATGCTGCCACCATTTCAGTCATGCTCCCTGTATCCAATAAAAGGAACCAGACTATTTTCCCGTCCAGCCTCGCTTTGGTTACGTTGATGGGAAAAAAATCAGATGGCCGCAACATGATAATTGTCTAGTCCTCTTTAAACATTACCGACCGACGGACCACCCACCCACACACACAAGTGTATAAATACCTTCTATCGTGGGCCTTCTGCGTTGTCACTCTTTTGTTTGTACTTTTAGGAAGACCTCCTAGCCCAGGTTGGACGAAGTCTTCATTGCATTACGACTGACGTCCAGGATGACAATTCTCTACATAAGACCACCCAAAATTTTGACCAGAGTTTTGTTATGTTTTACCTCGTTATAGAAGCTTATTTCATGCCTACATACTCTATGTGTCCTTATCGATTGGTCCGGGGGGTTCAGGAATTCCATATGTGATGCTGACCGACGTTAATCAGGAAAATAAACTCAGGAAAAGCAACGTTAAACTTGTACGTGTTTGTAGACTCTTTTCATCAGTTTCTCATCATATCACCGTACCGCGTCGTACGAAAGCGCACACGCTAGCGCCCTCCTTGGTTGGTTTTGGTGGGAACGTGCAGTGACGTCACTCCAGCCAACCGAAGTCATGAAAACACTCCACCAATGACCAAAGCCGAAACATGTTTCTGGTCACGGTCGCTAAAACATGCCGGGTCATTGGATAGGCGACCGCGCTCAGTACAAGTTAGTGTGTAGCGTTTTCTTCCATATAATTATAGCTTAATTTGTGAACTTTTAACCCCTCGTACATTGCCCCCAGCAACAGTCCAGTGGTGGGTAAAAGTTATGACCCTATGGTATCAATCTCACCTAACCACAAAGTCCATTAGTACATTCCTTCAGTCTCTAGTTTTTATTGCTTTTAAATTGGATAGTCAGCCCCACCTTACTTATTAGATTCTTCACTCACTCTCCTTTATTACTTTCTTCGCTCACTTTTCTTTCAACCATCAAACGAGACACATGTCTCCGAATTCTCTCTTGTAATTACGGTAGTCTAGTTGTTCGATTGTTAGAATAAAGTTGCTGTACGACCAACATCGTGTGTATTCCATTATTCCATCAACCAAAAACCCTAAACTGGTGACCCAGACGTGATCTATACAACAAAACAGTGGAATTTTGGAATCAACTGCAGCGATGCCTACTACTCCTGCTACAACTAGTACTGGCGCAACAGCTCCGCCACCCGTAACCGCTACCATCAGCCTCAAACTCCCACCATACTGGCCATCTCACCCAACAATATGGTTCACCCAAGTGGAGGCACAATTCACCACTCGAGGCATAACCTCCGAACACACCAGATATGCTTATGTGGTGGCGTCCCTGCAGCCATCTATAGCGCAGGAGGTGAGGGATATTTTAATAACTCCACCCTCAGAGGCTCCATACACAACGCTGAAAAAGGAGCTTATTAAGCGCACATCTCAATCTGAACAAAAACGCTTGCATCAACTCTTGACAACAGAGGAGTTGGGGGATCGAAAACCCTCCCAACTGCTCCGCAAGATGCAACAGCTCTTGGGGGAGCGAACATTGGAGCCATCAATAATGAAACAACTTTTTCTCCAGCGGCTTCCAACCAATGCTCGGCTAATTCTTGCTTCCACCTCAGAAGAGGTCGACATCGACCAATTGGCAAAGTTAGCAGATAAAATCATGGAAGTCTCCCCTACCCAGGCACCCGTCTCTGCACACATCACTACCATTGAATCTCCGCCACCAACCGAAATTCAACAACTGCGGGCCGAAGTAGCGAATTTGGCATCAATGATATCCACCCTCACCAGCTGTCCACGTGAACGCAGTCGCAGCCGCAGTCAACCGCGTCGCCAACGCACTGATGACCGTAGATCAGCAGCCACGGCCACGCACGATGCAGAGTGTTGGTACCACCAGAAATTTGGAGCTATGGCCCACAAATGTACGCAGCCATGTTCTTATAAGGCCGATCACCAGGAAAACGACCAAGCCGGCAAGTAGGGGCGACATGCTTTGTCGGCCGTTCCCCATCTCATCGCCTATTTTATGTCACAGATCGAGTAACGAAGCAACAATTCCTGGTGGACACAGGAGCAGAGGTGAGTGTCGTCCCTCCTTCATCTCACGACCGCGCCCACCGCTGTCATGGACATGACCTTCAAGCAGCTAAGGCGGGCGGGCTAAATACCCCCTGTTCATTTACCGTGGGACGGTATTGTTATTGAGGAAGTGTGGGACCCTTCAAGCCAAAGCGGGAGACGGTCCACGCATGAACGCACACGGTACAGCCGTGCATGGTAACGGTTTGCAGTGGGGCTTGTATGTTTAGGGCAGACAAAAGATCAGAGGATTAGCAATGTACCAGGTCTTTGCGGTCGGTGAGTAGAAGCCGCCACTGATGGGTATGAAACCGCAGGATTCATTGTTATAAAAATGGTTATTTGTAGCGGGAGCCGGGAGTGCCAACCGTGGGACGGTTTGTAGAAACAGGTCACCCGCTTTCTTTTCAAGCGGGAGCCGATAAAAGAGGGGCTCAAATGAAAGCGGCTCCCGGTAAGTGAACAGGGGGTATTTAGCCTGTCCGCCTAACGCATCGCAAATCGCTACTTATGGTGAAAGGTCATTGACACTTGACATTGGGATTCGGCGGCCATGCCGATGGGTGTTCATCGTCGCCGACGTTCAACATGCAATCATAGGCGCAGATTTCCTTCGTTATTTCAACTTTCTTGTTGACATTCGCAACTGCAGGCTAGTTGATGCTACGACCAGCTTAAGCATCGATGGAAAAGCATCAACATCGCCATCGCTCAGCCCCATCTTCAAACCGCCCACCCCATCTCGATTCGCGGACATTTTGAAGGATTTCCCCAGCATAACGCGTCCCACCTATAGTGACACTCCAATCAAACACAACGCTGAGCACCATATCATCACGACTGGCCCCCCTACAGCCGCACGCCCACGCCGTCTTGCACCTGACCGTTTGAAAGTCGCCAAAGACGAGTTCCAACACATGATGGACTTAGGTATCGTGCGCCCTTCGGCCAGTAACTGGTCCTCACCTCTTCATATGGTCCCCAAAAGCAACCTGGGGATTGGCGTCCATGCGGTGACTATCGGGCTCTCAACAAATCCACAGTGCCTGATCGTTATCCAGTGCCACATATCCAAGACTTTACATCATCACTACATGCCACTGTGATATTTTCCAAGATCGACCTCATCCGCGCATACCATCAGATTCCCATGGCACCAGACGATATTGCTAAAACCGCTATCACGACTCCGTTTGGGCTCTTCGAATTTACCCGTATGCCATTTGGTTTGCGCAACGCCGCCCAAACGTTCCAACGCTTCATTGATGAAGTAACAAGAGGTTTGGACTTTTGTTATGCCTACATCGATGACCTCTTAGTTGCCAGTACGGATGCCGATCAACATGAAACGCATCTTCGCCTTCTGTTTGACCGCCACGTTGACCGTCACGGAGTGCAGCCACTTGCTGGAAAGGTCAGTCCTATCCGTGATTTTCCCCAACCAACAACTCTCACCAAACTCAGGGAATTTCTCGGTCTCGTCAACTTCTACCGCCGTTTCATTCCCCAGTGTTCCCAGGTCCTCCAACCACTCACCGATCTACTTTCTAATGCCGGAAAGAAGTCGGCACCACTCCCTTGGAATGACTCTGCCACCGCTTCATTTCACGCTATCAAAGTTGCCCTCGCTAACGCCACTCTCCTTGCACATCCAAAGCCAGACGCGCCTCTGTGCGTCATGACGGACGCTTCGGATGTCGCAGTGGGAGCTGTTCTTCAACAACGAATTGACAATGCATGGCAACCACTCGCTTTCTTCTCAAAGCGACTTCAACCAGCAGAGACACGTTACAGCACATTTGGTCGCGAACTTTTGGCCATATACCTTGCCATCCGCCATTTTCGTCACTCACTCGAGGGTCGTCAATTTCATGTGCTAACGGACCACAAACCACTCACATATGCTCAGGGCACCACAACGGACAGACACTCCCCTCGCGAAATTCGCCACCTCGATTTTGTTTCACAGTTTACCTGTGATATCAGACATGTTAAAGGTGGAGATAACCCTGCCGCAGATGCCCTATCTCGTGTCGAACTAAATGCTCTTCGCACGGACCATACTGCACTCATCGATTTCCACAAAATGGCGGAATTGCAGAACACCAGCGAGGAACTTCAACGCTTGCGCACATCGTCATCCTCGCTCAAGTTCAAACAAGTTCCCCTACCATCATGTGACATTACATTAACTTGTGACATTTCTACTGGCAACGCACGTCCGTTTGTTCCAGTGGAGATGCGTCGTGCAGTATTTGACGCTCTACACTCCCTATCTCACCCTGGAATTCGCGCTACGCAACGCCTCATCACGGACCGCTACGTTTGGCCATGTGTTAACCGTGATGTGCAACAATGGGCAAAATCGTGCATACAGTGTCAGCGCTCAAAGGTCCATCGCCATACCTTTGCACCCCTGTCTAAGTTTTCTACTCCAGATGCCCGATTTTCGCATGTTCACATTGATCTTGTTGGACCATTACCCACATCCAATGGATGTGTATACATGTTGACCTGTATTGACCGTTTCACACGTTGGCCAGAAGCCATCCCTCTACCTGCCATCACAGCTGAAACAGTCGCTCGTGCTTTTGTAACGCGATGGGTTGCCTCATTTGGTGTTCCATCGGTTATCACCACTGATCGCGGTGCCCAGTTTGAATCCGCACTTTTTCGCGCACTCACAAATCTGCTTGGTACCACCCGCATACGTACCACAGCCTATCACCCAATCGCGAATGGACTAGTGGAACGTTTTCATCGCCAACTGAAGTCATCACTACGGGCACAACCAGACGCAAGCCTATGGACAGAGACTTTGCCGCTGATTCTCTTGGGAATCCGAACTGCAGTCAAGTCCGATTTCGGTCACTGTGTTGCCGAACGCGTCTATGGCACCACACTTCGCCTGCCTGGCGAATTCTTTGACAACACCACTGATGCCACTGCCTTAGAGCCTACGAACTATGTTCATCGCTTGAAACGCGCCATGCAGGATCTTCAGCCACCAACAACCCGCGCACAGCAGCGTCCCACAGTGCATGTTCCCGAGGAACTTCAGACATGCACTCATGTTTTCGTTCGTCGTGACGCAGTGCGCAAACCTCTACAACCGCCTTACGACGGACCTTTCAAAGTACTCAGTCGTTCAGCTAAACATTTCGTCATTGAACTGAACAATCGTCAGGACACAGTTAGCATAGATCGCCTTAAATCTGCCCATTTGGATATAGGTCATGCTATGAATTCTGCTCTTCCCAAACCCAACCACTCTATCCCAATAGTTCAAACCAATCCTGTAAATACCGAGCAGAATATCCCAACCTCAGATATTCCACCTCTTCGTACAACCCGCTCAGGCCGCACAGTTCATTGGGCCAAACGCTATGTCACATTCGTTCGTTCTTAAGTGTTTTATCAATTTTTGTTACTTCTCACTCACTGGAAGGGGGCTCCTGTAGCGTTTTCTTCCATATAATTATAGCTTAATTTGTGAACTTTTAACCCCTCGTACATTGCCCCCAGCAACAGTCCAGTGGTGGGTAAAAGTTATGACCCTATGGTATCAATCTCCCTAATTGATTGATTACTATTACTGAGCCAAGCCCCACTTTTATTACTTTGTCCCTCTTACCACATTTTTTCACCTAACCACAAAGTCCATTAGTACATTCCTTCAGTCTCTAGTATTTATTGCTTTTAAATTGGATAGTCAGCCCCACCTTACTTATTAGATTCTTCACTCACTCTCCTTTATTACTTTCTTCGCTCACTTTTCTTTCAACCATCAAACGAGACACATGTCTCCGAATTCTCTCTTGTAATTACGGGTAGTCTAGTTGTTCGATTGTTAGAATAAAGTTGCTGAACGACCAACATCGTGTGTATTCCATTATTCCATCAACCAAAAACCCTAAAAGTGCGCATGCATTTGAGGGTGGTTACTTAGTCTGGTTCCATTCAGACATGAGCGTCGGGAATAATTGTCAGGTCTGGGAACCAGACTAGTGGTTACTAAACAAATGGCGAATGCGCACTGCGCGTTCACGCTGCACGCCACGGACGTACGTCATGCATGTATATGTACGACTAGACTCGGCGGTGAGAAACTGATGAAAAGAGTCTACAACAACGTACAAGTTTAACGTTGCTTTAGAGTTTATTTTCCTGATTAACGTCGGTCAGCATCGCATATGGAATTCCTGAACCCAGCGGCCCAATAGATAAGGACACATAGAATACTCCGACGTAAAAATTGGCTTCTCCAACAAGGTAAACATATGAAAATATTGGTCATAAATTTTTTTGCCCGGTTTTGAGCACTTCATATCCTGGACTCCCTCCGTAACGTAGGGAGGAAAGGGAGTCCACCTGGGCTAGAAGACCTCCCATATCTTTTGCACATGGTCGTCAATCGTGGACCACCTGGAATTGTTTACCTTATTGCCCTCTTTTGTTCAGGGGACCTGAATGCATTAACAAACCCACTGATATACTTAAGTGTCCTCTTTAATCCTTTTTTTGCTCTTGAATTGCGCCTTAGTTTTTCTTTGAACGAGGGCAATCAGTAGCTTCACCTTCAATTTGTATTGATAAATGACGCTTTTCAAACGTTTACTTCAACATTGCAGGTTTCTGCGGGGAAACAAATATAGCATTGAATGCTTCCGTTAGCAAATTTTTCACGGCAGCGTTTGACGTAAATCGTGAAAATGACTGTGTGTGGACTGTCACCGCTGAACCGTCCACACGAATTCTGGTCACCGTCATAACCCACCGATATTTATCGACCACCTTTTGCGATGGGAATTATGGAGACTTTGTTAGAGACAGCAACCGAAGTGGATGTACAGAACTTGTCACCTTGCAAGCATCCAATACGAAATTCCGCAGACAAGCTTCTTCGAGTGGCCCCGCGCTATGGATAGAGGACACCGTCCATAGTTATTATGATAACTGGGATCTTACGCTTACGCTTAGTCAGTTCGTGGATATTGGTAAGTAAAGGTAAAACACAGTGAAGTAAATCTGTTCCGACGAGTGGGGGGGGGGGGGGGGGGGGATGGGGAAGACCAAAATCCAAAAATTGCCCGGCCGTGGAAATTCGAAAAGCGGGTGGGGGTGGATATCACATTACACTAGGGGCGCTGTTCATGATACACATTTTCATGTCTATGTTTACTCGCGGTGAAATAAAAACGGCGCATTTTAAGCTTTTGTACTTTTTTGTCTTAATTTTTCAGTGCAATGATAGGCCTACCTATTGGCTGTTAAAAATTTCGAGGAAAAAAACATCGAAATCCTCATTTTCGAGTTTCTCATCACGAAAACGTGGGCGGCGGGAATGATTCAATAGCCCATCTCCCCTAGTCAAAAATTGGGCGGGATATATACCCCCATCCCCCAGGATTTACGCTCCTGGTAAACAAATGTTACTGACCAACTCCCACTTCTTGCCAAATCGGTAAGTTATACTAACTACATCGCAAATGGAAACGCTAGGATTGTTAACAAAAAGGACAATACCTATATATGGAAATAACATTAAGCCTTGTGTATTTGGCAGTGTGCCGAAATGGAGAGTATAAGTGTCCCTCTGGGAGAACGTGTATCGACCAATCCGCAGTCTGCGATGGCTGGCCAGACTGCCCTGAGTACGAGGACGAGTTTGGATGTAGTAAGTGTCTTAAAGAATTTTAAATTTATTCCGACTTGTGTTTGTGTGATACAGGTTGTATTTTACATCGATGTAAACTTTTGTTTTTAAGCATTTCAAAACGAATGAATTAATTCATATAATTATTGTAATTATTATTCGTGGTTTTGTTTATTTCATTTGAAATTGAATCTAGCAGCCAGCAAGGGCTAAATGACGGTCATCTGACAAAAGTTATCACTTAACATAAATATTAAAAAAAACCTAAAATCTTTTTATTTTGAAGTATTTAGTTAAGTATTATAAAATGTACAAGGAACGGAAGAGGAAGAGATGAGGAAAAAAGTAAAATAGGAAGAATGTCAAATCAAGTGGGGACGGGAAGGAAATTACTTAAATTACCTAAATAATAATTAAATAAAATAACAAATTATGTGCAAATACTTTTTTATGAATATAATGAAATTGCTTTAGTCTCTGAGCCGCTGCATGCTTGCCCATTTTTTAAAAAAAAATATTGACAACATCGCTGTCTAAGATTATTGCAATGCCAAGCATATTAACTAATACTCTGATGTTGATGTTGTTATGAACGTTCATCGTAATTGAAAAACGGAAAACATTCAAAATGAATGGTTTTTAAAATATTTTTTTTATTGGGTTACTTTGCAGGAGATTGTTCTGGGGATGCATTTACGTGTGGTACAGGCTGGAGCGGATGCTTAGAAAAGAAGTATATATGTGATGGACCCGCCAGCTGCTCTGATAAGTCAGATGAGCTCAATTGTGGTGAGTTTTTCTGCTAGGCTACATAATCCAAGCCTCTACATAAAACGTTTCAGTTTCACCTGTTAACGAGATTTTACCGACTTTAGACAGTTGAGGCAAAAGGGGAAATGAACAACAACAAAAAAACACTAAAAAAGATATCTTCCCGTAATTATTCCAATCCGGCCGTTCACGCCATCCATTATATTATCACGAAGGCACCATCATTGGCTTTCTCAAATGACGTCACTTCCTACAGATTGTCTCGTGCATCGGCATTTTTGGCGTCAAATTTTTGTGACGCGCAACGGCTGCGCATACAAATTTGTAAATACAAATTTGAAAATTCCCACGAAGAGCGCGCGCGTGCTGAGCAAAAAGTCATGCGAGCCGTTTATTAGCACGTAGCTCACAAAATATCCACGTGTGCGGTAAATTTGTACTGAGTTTTCTGCCTCGCGAGGTCGTGAGGCAAATGTCTCCCCTGTATGATTTTCTTTCGCCTCGCGACCCGAAAATCTCACCGTATGCCGTGAACGTGAGCCACGTGCTGAGCTAAAAATGTTTGTCAGCCGGGACAATTACGCCAGCAGGCTTTAGAAGATTGCACCAAAATATCTTAAAATCACGTATACAGAGTAAGTGATTTCATTGGCTAGTTAATCTAGTTAGTTAATTTAAAACTGGCTTGTTTTAGCTTTGTGCGTAGCTCTAGTGAGCTGCGGGCTGAAAGCGCTGTGCTAGCTATCGTTTAGTAAATCCGTCATGTGGCTGTCATAGTGACAGTTTTAGCCGATTTTTGGCTAACTTTGACATAACTTTTTGTTAAAAAAACGAGTTTGACAGAAATTTGATAGAATAGATTTCTTTGCAGATTTCTGGCAGAATAATTTCTTAATTTCTCAGTTGTGAATGTGGCTGTTATGCAATGCAGGTCCCTGCGGTGACAGCCGTATCAACATGACGCTAGGCTACGTCAATCTGACCTCGCCCGGTTGGCCAGAAAACTACCCAAGAAATGTGAGATGCTACTGGATTTTGCTGGCTCCTGAGGAACACAGGATCCTGGTCATACTGCTTGAATTCGAGACTGATGGTTACGATTACCTGGAGTTGTCGAATGGGCGTATATTTTCTGCCGGCCTCAGAATAACAGGGTAACTTATGAGATTGCACATCGACAGTGACCTGCATGATCGTAATCTGTTCTTGCTAATTGATTGGAATCGGCACTTGCAAAGGAGAAGCTTTTTACATAGACGTGACACAAAACAATTGATTGGGTTATCAAGCGAAAGAGAATCGACACATGTGGCTAATCGTTTATGCAGCCATTACATGTCCAACGAATGTGTTCAATATCGTTAACGTCAGCTAGTACAACTAATTATAACACGATATGCTCAATCTCCTGAGTTGTGTGTCTATAGACCTTTGCAAGGTGCGCCACGATTGTAAATTCAGTTACAATGAAAACACAGAATGCCTTATCAAGTGTATTGCAAAGGAACAAAGACCTGCCGCAGTGCCCACTGTCATGGCGCACCGTGCGACAGGTTTATATGCTCTCGTTTGCATCATTACACGATAATAGTGTCAAGGGCGGATCCAGGGGGGGGGCCAAAGGGGGCCATGCCCCCCCCCTCCAAAAAAACGAAACCAATTTGTTTTTTTATGTAACATCGCAATAAAGGCAGGCAATGAGTACACCACCATCTTTTCCTCAAAAAAACATTGGTTAAAGTGGTCAGAAATTGCCTCAGATCGCACCACAGAGCATCCAGAATCCAAAAAAAATTCGGGGCCCTTAAGCGGGCCCCGAACCCCACGCCGTAACTTTTTTGACCCACTTTTTGGGGGGACCAAAATTGTTTTGGCCCCCCAAAAAAATTGTGTTCTGGATCCGCCCTTGAATAGTGTCCGATTGTTTTACCCTTTTCGGCGGAAAAGGGTAAAACATATTGTTACCTTTTTATATCAGCCGTGCGAAGCACGCCAATAATTATACTGTGATCGTCGCTTTTCTTCCCTTCTTTGGGAAAACGCTCATAGGAAATGTTGTATTTGCCAATATCTGCCAAATTCCTTTGCCGATTTCAGACAAATTTGGACAGGATCTTCCTTGACCGGAATCATTTCTCAAGTGACCAGCACTAGTGACCGTGGTCACGAGTGGTCATGGGCGTCAGTCGGTGGGGGACGGGGGGCCCACACTTTTTTAAAGTGGGGGATTATCGTTTGTCCCCCCCCCCACACACACACACACTTTCTTCGTCCCCGAATAAAAATTGTAGCTAACTATAATGATTACATAGCTCAGAATAGCTGATTCAATGACTCCAAAGTCGAATATGATGTTTAGCCTAAAAGATGATCTTTTGCTAAAAAGAATTGGTTTTAGCAGTCAGAAATTGCCTCAGATCGCACCACAGAGCGTCTTGAATCCACGCTTTGCGATCGCACTAGTGCTCATCAAGGTATGTCCCCCCACTTTTCGGCAGCGATTGACGCCCTTGCGACTGGTCATTTTCTTCAAAAATACAAAATGCTACTTCCCCCACAGTCTTGATCCAATTAATGTCAAATGTGGTCAGTTACATCTTAGGACCAAGCATCACGGGTTGTTCACAGAATTTGGCCAATGGAAAGTAGGGGTTACTTTCTCCAAATTACAAAATACTTCTTCTCTCACAGTCTTGATCCAGTTTAATATTGTCAAAGTTGGTTTTTACATTGCTTGACCAAGCCTGAAATCGGTTGCATACATAATTTGTCCGATGGTCACCTAATGATCAGTAGAGCGTATTGCGTATTACATGCTCTACATCACGTAATATATTGTCTTAACCTGCAAACTACTTTGTACACTTTCCAAATACAGGTCAGATTTTCCCAGTAGAGTTGCCTCAAGAGGCAACGAAGCGTCCATGTATTTCTATTCAAACGGCTACAACGAGGGGAAGGGATTTTTACTTCAACTTGAACAAAGGCCTGAAGACGAAAGTAAGGGACTTAATGCATATTGGTGGTTTTGTCTTCAGTTTTGGGGTAATTAAGAAAACTAAGTAATGGAATTGGTAATTCTGGATACTAAAGGTGCTGCTCTGTGATCAATCGTGCCTCGTTGAATCAGTTAGCAAAGAAAACAAAATTGACATGGGTTGGTATGGGAAGAATGTTTTTGGGTGGAGGATACCAATGGCGATTTCCCCCGAATTATTTATTGCAGTGCGTATAGGTTTTAACTAATTATATCAATCTATGTGCGCCCCCCCCCCCCAAAAAAAAGAACCCTCTAAGATAGTGCTTGTCTGCCATCCCTTCCACGTAACTGCAACAGGCTTTACGTTATATAAGCAGATAAAACAACTATACATTTGTGAAATATTACAGTATGCGACATGAATCCAGTTATACACTACATACAGTACAAGTTGTACCTTCAAAGGCTGAGACAAAAGTGATCAACGTTAATTCCTATCCCACAGCCAGGCTTTGCCAAGTATCATCGAACCATTTTGATTGGCTGGTTACCCCCCTCAATCCTTTGTTAGCCATTGGTAAATATTCCTGGCTCTTGATTGGCTATTTTGATATTATAAAGCACTGGATCCAACTATTGTCATCAAATAGGCTATGGACTTTCCTGTACAAAGGTTCTTCATAGTAAACCAGGCCCTTCTGTGGTGTACATTGCCCATGGAGAATAGGGAAGGGCCACTAAAAGTTGCTGCTTTTAAATAATGTGATCACATCGTGATAAAATTACGGTATGATCGCTGGGTTGCGGTAATAATTATTCGATCTTATAATTTTTGACATTCTTTTCAATTTTGATACAATCTTTAATTCTGATTATGCTTGATTGTTGTTGCGTTGATATCTGTTGTTGATATAAATTGTTGATTAGAAACGTGACTGTGTTGATTGGATACCCGATTGATTTGACCCCATTAATGTGGTTGAGTTGATCTTTGATCGTCGATTATACACCCATTCGTTGCCGACGAGATTATCTCATTCAAATAACGATACTTTTCTTTTATCTCCTTAGTGTCATGCGGAGTTGGAGAGGTATTGTGCGACTATCCGGACTTCATATGTGTTCCTGAAAACACTGAATCGCTGCTATGCCCGACAAGTAAGTGACTTTGTCGGTGTATGGAAGTCCCGTATGATCAGGTGCATTAATATTATTCTTAATTGGTTATGTGTGAAGAACCGTTCAGTATCAATGAAAGAACGTAGAATCCTTGCTGCTTTTTAAAAAATATAATCACTTTGCTTACAGGATATTCAGATGGTAAGGCCAGGTTAGGTACACCATACACACTACTGCCTCAAAAACTATTTTGGGCCTGATTCCTTGTTCATTTTTTTGCAAAATTGTTGTCGAATAAACTTCAGTCCAACTTAGCCTTTGCTTCCTTTCAGATTATTGCGGCGAGGAAACCGTGCTTGTGAACTTTTCACCAGTAAACTTCTCTTCGCCAAATTACCCGGCCTATTACCCCAACGGACTTGACTGCGCGTGGACCATCACTACTTTGCCATTTCTTTTGATTTTTGTCCACATCGAGGACTTTTATACTGAAGCTAATTACGATGTGGTGCAAATCCAAGGTCTCACATTTTCCGGAGTCTCGCCTTCGGTCTTCAGATTTGACGGCACAACAAAAGTTCGCAGCATGGTCTTCAATTCATCGTCGATTTCCATTCAGTTTACATCAGACGGGAGTGTTGGGAAGAGAGGATTTCTACTGTCGTTTCAAAGCAGCTTCCCTTTCAAGAGTAAGTATGACAGGGGCATTTCAGTCCCACGCCATAGATTCTCCTTGTACAGGGTGAGTCAAAAAGCGGAACCCAAACCCCAGAAAACATATTTCATATTTAAAAAAAAAATATGTAGCATCAAACATACTGGAAAGCCAATTTCCTTAGCTCCATTTAGAGGACAAACATTTCTGAAATTGCTCAATCCGTTCAAAGAATATCACCATTTCAATGCAGTGACCCTAAAACCTGTTTCGTCAAAAAGAGTTTATTGTGTATTCTGACTGTTTGGAACAACAAAGAAAATGACACAGAATCCTTTGTTTCAACAACTGTCGGCAACTGTATACACAATATCTTTATTAACAGCCCTGGTTAGGCAAACAATATGATTAAAAAAATACACTTTTTCAAAAGATGGGCCTTCAAAAGGAGTTTTTTTGAATATTTGTAATTTTTAAACTGAGGTGTTATCGCTGGTGATGTTTGAGGACAATAGTGACGTAGTATTTTTTTCATCTAAAGTAGCTTATGAAATTGGCTTTCATTCATAATTATTCTCGGTGCCACACAATTAGTTTGAAATATGACATATATTTTTTGGGATTTGGGTTCCGCTTTTTTGACACACCCTGCAGTAGTAAACTAGTCGGGAGTATCACCAGTTATCCACGGAACAAGTCTCCTGTATAACGTCTGGTATGTCTAGACATGCAGATATATGCAAGCTGCGCGCCAGCCAATCCGAGTCGACTTTACTTAATCCTGACGTCATTTCATACCTAAATCAGGACCAAATGGTTTGATTGGTCAATTCGAAAGCAGCGTTTTGTAATACAACAACAGCCGGGCGCGATATCGGGTAACTTTATACAGAGCGCGTGAAACAGTTTTTTTTATCCATTGTCTATGACGCGCAACGGGTGAATGACCGAAGACCTGATACAGAAAGCGCCCGCTGATTGGTCAAAATCGAGGAGGTCAATAGGTGGGGTTTTGCCTAATTAACCAGCGAATCTGTTCACGCATCCTCCACCCCCTCCATTTCCTGTACCATGTTGCTGTGTGCAAGCTATTGTACAAGAAATGGCTCCAGGGTGGATTATCTTTAATAGCTGGCACGATGCTTTTGCAATAAAAATGTTTCCCCAAGTATCTTATCTTTTACCATAGATCTAACTTGGTGCGACGAAGAGGAATCGTCAATAGATGACTGCGAAAAACTAGGTACGTTTTTACCTATTAATTCAACCAAACAGTTATAGTTAATATTTACATTTACCCTATCAGGCCGTCGATCGTCCTCGAATCATAGCCGAAAGTGGGTCAGTTATCGAATCGAAATCCTTAATCGATTTGATTCTTTGAAGAAGAGAGGCACATTCCGAAGATAATATTTGTCATTTATTCGGGCGGCTCACTCCCCACATAATGCGAGATCTTGCCTTGGACCATAATACACGTAGGTCTAGTAAAAAGGTCTTTAGGTACAGCTATGGTGTTCCAAACTTATTGAACAAATCGCTGAACCTAGATATATTAATAAACTTGGACTTTCAGTGAATGTGCACAGGCTAGGCCACAAGGTTAATCGGAAGTCGGAACTATGATAGCTATAGTTGATTCTATTCACAAGATGGGATTTTTTTTGTTGCGTCGGGGTGATGTAAGTCAAATTACGTTTTGCCCTTCACCGACGTATAAACACTGTATACTCAGTGTGTTATTGAATTTGCCTCACACTTTTCTCTTTTTTTGAACAGAGAAAATCCCGGTGTCGTGTGATATGCATGACGAAAGTCTTTTTGACTGTGGAGACGGGTCGTGTGTGATTCCTGAGGCCAGATGCAATGGGTTTACAGACTGCAACATGGGACTTGATGAACTGTCTTGTGGTAAAACTATTATTTATATTATTCAGAAAATTGTGTTCTTGTGGCAATGATCGACCGCCAGCAGTGTACACGTATGGTTTTTACGACGGAGGACAGACACACAAATGGAGAACAAAAGATCCTTTCAGTCCTTGAGCGTTTGGTTCTTTTGTTGAAAACGGTCCTCGATGGTATGGTTATGGCTAAGTCTATGGGAGAATGTTATATTACAAGGACAAAGTTAACACTTTGACGGCTGCGCCCGAATATACTCGGGATAGCTTTACACCCCGGCAGGTGCTACGCCCGAGTATACTCGGGATAGCAGTAAACGTTGTGCTGCCCTCTGTTGAACAACATCAATTAAACACAATGCATTTTCATTTCGTACAGAAATTCACGACTGTGTGTACGGTTACACTTCCCATTTGCCCTCACGTATTTTCGATTTTCTTTTCACGTCAATGCGTGTGCAAACCTGTCGGGCATGATTTGATTTTTATGCATTTCGTTTCTTTCCAACCACAACATCACTCAAAATCCAAAGGAGAACGATCAAAACCTAACCTTTCGGAGAAAGCAGTGAAAAACCAAAAACAACCCTTTGATCACAATTTCATTTCATTTGCAACACGATTTCGAGATCCGAAAATCAGTCAATAATGACTAATGGTTGGAAATCACCTACGTTTTCTTGACTGGTGACGGCCAGCCAAACGGAATATTTTTGGCGGGGTGTTTAGTACCAAAACGAGCATTAATCAAAGTTAAATTGTTTGATATTTCGGTAGGGTGCTTTTGGGAAGAATGCGAATGATCTCACATGCATTTGAAAGGTTTATCAAAGAATATCAAATTGAGTTTGCTTGCAAGTTGCAACTCAAGGCAGACCATCATTTCCAGTGCTTATTGGGGCAATATAAAAAAAATCATTTTTGCTCCCAACAGCTCAACGCCGACATTTGGCGCACATGGCCATATCATATGGAGCGCCATGTTTATAAAATAAACTGTTTGCACCACATTTATTCAATAATCAAAATCAGATTTATTTTCTCACCACAAATGGTCTCACCAATTGGTCTCAGATGGTCTCACCACAAACTTCCTCTTAATATGTTCATCGTCATAACCTCAAGAGTTGAGAAAAATAACCATCAGTATTGAACACAACTTGACATCAAAACGGTTGAAATTCTGAGGGATAATGATGGAGTAAATGGCCCGACTTGGCCTCAAATGCCTTTTCTTTGTATTGTGTCCAGACTGAATTTCGTACAGAAATGATGAAGGCCTTTGAGACGTATTTTTCTTATGATGCTTTGCTCTGATAGAAAATATACACTGCCCCGAGTTTTACGCGTGTAAAACGTCTTCACACTGTATCTACTGGGAAGAGGTGTGCGACGGCAAGGCCGACTGTGGCTCTGGTGACGACGAGATTGATTGCGGTAAGTCTCGTTGTCTTAACGATTTCAGACACAGTCCAAAGTTTCAAAAAAATCGATGCATGATAAGGAAAATATGGCCCTTAAACATCCTCCACTTTTTTGGTTTTGTATAGACCATGTTTCGGGTGAACATAATATTTATACGAGTAAACACGAACAAAGCCCTGAAACAGGTCAGATTTAACCGGGCAAAAATCTGGGTAAGATTTGACCGGGCACGCTTCTTGTTTTGGTCAAAATGACTCTTCTGTGATGCACTTTTTGGGGCCATTTGTCACGTGTAAAAGTAGTCAATTTGACAGGTACACAACTGTTCACTTTTATCAAGAAAAATGTCAGGCCAAAATATCCGATCCTTGCTTGGGTCGAGATCGAATCTTATCTGGGACTGTAAAAAGTGAGTAGGCCATATTCGGTTCGTTAGTGTAACGTCACTTCAGTTAAAACCACGCCCACTGCACGTCAAGTAGCATTGGAACCATTGTAACCAAAAGTTACAACACAGCTTGAGTGTTTAGCCAATGGGCGCTTGTAATCGTGGTGTACAAGCATTACATTCACTGTGTGGACTTCAGAACAAAAGAGGTCCACATGAACCAGGTAGCAGCGACGTTGTGTGGACTTGGGCAAGTCCACACAGTAGAAAACAGGGTTAGATGCATTTTTGGGTTAGGTTTATCCGTGGCAAAATGAAGAGAGGAACTAAAGGGAATCAGAGAAAACAATTTGGGTGGAAAGAGTTTTCACAGTGTGAGTAAAACGAGTTTTTTCACAGGTTTTCTTAACTACACGAAAACAAAAGAATGTCCACACTAAGTAATTAACGTACACGTGTATGACGAAGTCACTAACTAACCGGTGTGAGTACTGCCAAATTAGCTTTGTTTGGTACTGATTAATATCGAGGGATTATTGGCGTGCTTAATCCGTTAATTCTCGCATATTCTCGTGTATTCTCGTGAATTCGTTGAAAATTAAAATTGTATGATCGCTAATCATCCTTACTAAGCATTACCACATCAATCCGTACGTTCGTGAGTGAAAATACCCAACTTATGCTTCTGCATTCCAAGTGGTTGCACGGAAACAGATCAAATCTCAATATAATCTATAAGAACAATGTTTAACGTCTGTCAACATTTGAATTCATTTGTAGTTAACAAGCGCTGCCCCAACGGCTGTAAATGCAACTATGACGTCGACGATTTCCATGTTCGATGTCAGCAAGGTTGGAGTCAAAGCACCCTCGCCAACACTGCAAAAAGGACACAGGCTCTGTAAGATATAAAAACAAAGTTAAACACTTGTGTTATTGAGTTCGGTTTAACATTTTTGTTTAAATAGATATTCAAATGCTTATGGAATGCATATGCAAAGGAACCTCCCGAATTATTATCAAAAGCTTACCTGGATTAAAGATCGCCAGGGACTAAACACTCTGTGGAATTAATCCGTCTGGCTTGATGTCATTCAGAAGAAATCAATAAATGTAGTTGATTTCCAACCGTAAGATTTTTTGGAAATAATAAATCTATTGGCGAAATCGTGTTTCGTGATCAACGGGTTGGCTATGGTTTTGACTGTCTCTTCTTGGAAAGCGTAATATCCACTGAGCTGACACTTAAGTAGGTTAGGTTTTGAACTTTGTACTCTGAATTTTGAGTGGTGTTATTACTGGAGACAAACAAAATGCATTGAAAAGCAATGATCCTGTATACCTTCACGCTTTACACTTAACGTAAAATGACATTGTTTACCAAAGACGCACGTATATCATTGCTACATTAGACAGTAACTACCGCTATTCGCTTTCCAAGGAACGTTTCAATAAACAGGTACACTTGCGCAAAAAAAAAACAAGAGTTTTGGTGAAAAATACGAACAAAATCGCGGAAAAAGGGACTTTATGCTTCCAGCTATTCATGGTAACTCAGATGGCTCTGCTTTTCTCCGGTGCCAAATTTTCAGTGGGGGCGACTGGGGGGGGGCGAACTTTCTATGGGGGCGTGCAGCCCCTCCCCCCCCCCCACGCCCCCCTCTCGTAGCTTCGCCGCTGGTTCTGCTTCATGTAAAAATATCAATACTGCCCAATAAGCCAGTTCGGTATCTCGATGAAGTAAACCAGGTCAAAGGTCATTCGGGAAAACGCGGACGCCCATTCTGGTTATAATTAGCCATTGGTCTCCATTAGTAACACAATTATTAGTGCACGACCGTCTCTGCGCGCGTTCATACGCCTTCGATTATCCCGAATGACGCTTGACTCATCTCATTATGCGCATGCGGTGTTGAAATACCGAACACGTTTATTGCGTGTGTGCACCTGCCGATTATTGACACTGTGCAAACAATTCTTCACTTGTTTTTCTTTTTTCACTTTCAATGGTCCCAGGGAACTTACCCACGGTGAAATCCATACCCTTGAGTTGGGTGGTTTCAAAGGGCTGCACTACCTCGAAGCGCTGTGAGTACAGTTTACATTGCCGTCAAAACGAACGTTTATGCCGAACGGCAAATATGGAGACAATTCGGGCGATTCACAATGCAGTGCGCCACCAAGAGTTCGCCATGGCGAGTTAAGTTTCCCTATTGCATTGTGGGAGATGGTCGACGAATTCGCAGCGCGAGACATTTGAAATTGTTACTTTTTCTGGTCAGTAATTTCGTAGGCGTATGATTCGAGTACATGTTTGCCCTTTTCTTTTCCTTTTCTTAATATGGTGTTTTTTGTAAGGCAGCAGGATGGTATGTGCCCCAATCTATAAAGAATTAACTCAAGTTGTCTACTGACACTCATTCAAATGGGCTATTGTTTTGTCGACTGTAAACTTGAAAAATGGACTCTCCATGTCTAACCCTAGGTGGCGCACTGCATTGTGAATCGCCCGAATTCCATAATATGCATCAGAAAGTTACATTTCTGGTGTCAAACTATGCGCTACCCATTAACTGATTAGTTTTGTGAATATCAACTCATCAAAGAAGGATATCTGAAATTAAAAATCATTGTTTCCGGCATTCTTTCTTGCTGTCTCACAGATGAATATTTATCATTACAGGTACCTGACAGATAACCACATACAATGGATACAGCAAGGTGCATTTGCTGGGCTGAATATTACATACCTGTAAGTAGTAAATGTAGGTTTTCCCAGATATTTTAACACTACCACACAAATTCCAAACAAACAATTTGCTTTGTTTCAATAGCTAGAGCCGATATCGCCACACGAGACAAAACTACCGAAATTGGAACGAATTAGAATGCTACAAATGTGAATTACGTAGGCCTATACCGCACCTTTAATGAATTCCATTGGTGGCTATTTGAAATTGAAACTCAGCTCGAAGACATCCTATAACGAAATTCAAGTATCTTTACAGGAAATGTGTGTGTGAGAGCGTTAAAGGGACACTGCGTCCTGGAAAGAACCCAGTTAGGCAACGAACTGCGTTTTGAACAAAATGATGTTAATCGGAAAGAACATTCAAAAGTAAGATATATACATCCACACAACCATCCTTTCAAAACTGGGCGTTTTTGTGTTATTTTGTGCGCGAACGAATGTCGGGGTCCCCTTTTGCGAATGTGCAAACCACATTGTGCATTGGTGCTGTGTGTGAGATTTATATGACCGTACAACGTGTATCGTACTTTGAATGAAAATGACAGGAAAAACGCATGCGTATTCCGTCGTGTTTTTCCGTGCAAACACTGGTCAAAATGCCATGGTAGCACTTCTGGGTCCTAGCTCCCTGCTGTACGTTATGAATGCGCGCGGATGTTGGTAACCAGCGATGCAACCAGGCCCAGTAGGCTGGTTTCAAATAGTCGACCTGCGTAGTCAACCATTGTCGACTAGACAGAGTTCAGGCTAACTTTAGTCGAACTATGGTTAACCATTGGTCAACAATAGTTCTTGCGCGAACTTGCCCATAGTTATATTTACTTGGATGTCGGTTATGTTGGTACATTGTATCTTCGATGGCTTTGTCTATGCGTCAATATCGCGGTGGAATTAATCGCGTCAACGCAGCTTGTGAAATGTTGTCCAATAAGCCAGTTCGGTATTTCAATGATCCGAGGTCATTCGAGATAACATCGGTGACGTGATGTTAAGGGGTGTTACGCGCACGAACAACAGTTGGTTGTCCGCCTGCACGTTAGTTTACGGACATAATTAATGCACAGGCACCTCCGATGAATCATCAATATACTTAGTTGAATATCGTGTTTTTCTTCCCACAGGGATATTTCTAACAACAATATAACAATGATTGATTCGCCCATCTTTTACGAATTGGAGCAACTCGAAACATTGTAAGTGGCACTTTCATTTTATTCGATTTATTTGAAGGGAGAGACGTAACTTTTCTTCGATAGGGACGGTACGCCACTTTTCAATTACTGACTGCTGTCCTTTTCTTTTCTATTCTATCATTACCACTAGGCCAAGTTTGCCATCTGCAAGACCAAACGTGATGTGTAATGGTACATGCAGATATTTTTGTTCGAGTGGCTCTCAGCTCATTGCACATGTTAACATAACTCTGCCCACTAAATCCCTCCAACTTTTGTCGCCTCAGAGATTGAGGTGCCATGTTGACTTTTTTTTTTCTTTTTCCTCATTTCCGTACAGGATGATGGTAAATGTTCCCATCATGTCTATTTCTGCGTCTGCTTTCCTGGGACTGTCAAATCTTGAAACACTGTAAGAGAATTGCTTCCTTCTTACGTTTGCATAGTCTTAACTGCGCCATTATGGTTTGCTTTCCTGAATTAGAATCGAAGACCTTATCCACAAGGACGCCATTTTTGGTTCGAGTTCCCTGAATCAGTTTTATACATTGTAAACTGTTAAATGGGATGATGCCATACTATTTCTTGATAAGAGGCGTTCCAAGTTTCAATCTCATTATTTTTTAAACATTGGGATAGGTCTATGTTTAAATCACAAATTTTTAATTATTCACCAGAGGAATTACTGATGTTTATACCTTGTAATGAACTTGTATGTTATTGCAAAATGAAGAATTTACTTCGCTTTCAAGTTAGTTTAGCCGAGTCGAGAATAAAGTCGTGTACAATTTGTGGAATGTATTGAGAAAGCTTCCGATTCGAAAAAGAAAATCCTGATATATCAACACATGGACTTGAGTTGATGCTATACTGAAAGTGTGTAATCTATAACTGAAAATTCTACGTTATGAAATTCGAGAATGGGTCTACATTTTCAATTAGAAAATCAGAAACGTTGATAAAGATCATAAATACTTACACGTCCTTTCGAAATCCGTCTTGCTAAAAAATACAAGTCCTTAGGATTCTTTGAATTTATTAAATACTAACTCCATAAAAAACACCAATTGTAATTTTCTTTGTATCCGATGCAAGGCGATACCGGTATGCAAGCGGAATTTACAAACATATGAAATGAATGGTGTCTTTTTGGTTTCTCAATATTTTTCATAGTGTGATCATAACCAAACTACGAGGCGACATGTTTATCGAGGTGGAAAAGGGAGCGTTTCAGGAGTTAAAGTCTCTGCAAACTGTGTGAGTAAATATATTTAATTAACTACATGTACTTTCAATTCTTTAGATCCACTTACAAAATATGGATGTTATCCTCACTGTAATTCCAGTTATCTGGTGTGTTTATGACGGTAAACTTGTACTGCTTTCTTATGCCTACGGGTGCAACCTTGTATTAAAATTCCCATAGACACTAGTGCTAAATGCCCATACTTCAAAATTCTTTAAAAAATACTCGGAACTCTCACAGGTATTTATTAAAGCTGCACAGGAGAATAATGATCAACATGTTATCTTTCATTTTCTTATAATTTTTTGGTGGGTTGACCATTGACTTTTTGAGATATTGTCACCCAAAGAAGACGACCCCTAGGCCTATATTCCCCAAAGCGGAAAAGTAGCTATTTTAAGATAACGATCCCTCCGCAACATGGCAAAGTACCGCCACTCTCGAGCCATATTGCATCCAAACTGCTCAGAATGGGCAGCCCCAAGTCTAAGCCAGAGGTTCATTGCCATATCTCTTCAATTGCCCGATTTTATGGCTCTCAGAACTCTCTAATATAGAATATTTTTAGTGTATAACTTTTATTTTTGAGCTCGGCGGAAGGATTTAGGCCTATTTACCGATGTGCACCCCTACTAGTTCCCTGTTGACCAGGTGTTTCGTGACAAGATATAAAAGCCTTTTGATTTCAATTCTTTTCGCTTTATAGGTACGTTGACGACTACCGTTTATGCTGTGATTTAGCCGAGTTGGAACATTTCTCGGTTGAAGAAGACTGCCGTACTACCGAGTTGCAACCACCACTGAACCTGTGCGGAAGTCTTTTGCAGAACCACGTGTTGCGGGTGGCATTGTGGGTATTGGGGTTGAGCGCCCTCTTTGGTAATGTAGTGGTTATCATTTGGAGGATTAAAGGCGCAGGTGGTAGAGGAGGTAAGAAGACACATTCATTTATGGTGTTGAATCTGGCAATTTCGGATTTCATGATGGGTGTGTACATGCTAATGATAGCAGGTGCTGATCTTTCTTATGGCGAGGCATACTTCCGTACTGCTACCGTCTGGCGATCCAGTGTGGTGTGTAAGATAGCTGGGGTGATATCGGTCTTGTCCAGTGAGGCGTCGGTGTTTTTCGTGACACTCATCAGCATCGATTGCTTCCTGTGCATTGTGTTTCCATTCAGTGGTATCCACCTCCGGGACAGATCGACAAAAATTGTGGTATGTTCACTTTGGTTTGTGGCTGTTTGCTTGAGCGTTGTTCCCACATTCTCTGTTCGACCAGATTCTGATTTGTATGGACTCTCTGATGTCTGCATAGGACTACCTTTCACCACCAAAGCGGCCGGGGCTGACAGCATCCAAGCTGAATTGAACACCAACAATCCCCTAGGAAGCCAACAACTTACTCTTAATGTTGGTACTGACAAGAAACCCGCCTGGATCCTGTCCGTGGTTCTGTTTCTCGGCGTCAATCTGGTTTGCTTCTTGGTCGTCTTTTGTTGCTACGTTGCCATATTTGTCAGTGTTAAAAGGTCGAGTAAGCTGGTAAGAAAGAGCGCTCACCGAAACCGCGAAATCAAAATGGCCGTCAAGATGGCGGTGATCGTAGGTACGGATTTCGCTTGCTGGATGCCGGTGATCATCATGGGAATTCTCTCTCAGACTAACACGATTGAAATAGGAGCCGATATGTATGGTTGGATTGTTGTATTTATCTTACCAATCAACTCCTCACTTAATCCGTACCTGTACACGATTTACTCGGCTTGCACGCCTGGACCCACTAGCAATAGTAACTCTGTAGACAAACCCGACAAAAAGAATCGGAACACACGCTCGGTCGAAACATTGGATGTCTCAATGTCTGAACTCAAATAAAAATATGCAGACGCTATGTGACATGTTCAGAATTTTGACGTAAATGACAGTTTAGTGTTCAAAGTCTCATGTAGTATCGTTGTAATCGTAAAGAGTACATACTTGGACTAAAAATCATGATGTTTGGAATAAATTTTATGTCAAAATAAATCGTACTAAAATCACACAACATAGCAATTTAATTAAACATACATACAGTTAGTGGCAATGTTTAGGATGTACATGTACAGTCTACATATATTTCTGACATTGATTGTTTGTATTGATATTTTACTATAAACCAGTAAAATATCTTAATTTAAATGATGCAATCAAGAAAAGAGAAATCAAGTCATTTAAAAAACAATGCTCAAACTGCAAGATGCAAGGAAATTCAAGCACGATGAGGAAACGTTTTGAAGTACAGTGTATTGTGCATGTAAATTTGAGAGTTATCGCTGCATATATTTCTATGATGGCATGTTTTCAATTTTGTGTACCCTCTTAATCTGTTTTGTGGAATTTATGTATATAACCAGTACCTTTTAAAGTTGAATTAGTAGTCAAATGTTAAAACTGGGATTGAACCCATCAACTAGATTCGAGAGACTGTTTCAAAGCAAACCCCGTGAAAAACACACGCAGTTTTCTACTGAAATTTTAAGAACCTCTACTCGAGAGTCAAAACTCTGGAAAAAAATCTGAATGGTAACAATCATTCTTGCCGGAGATGATGTGTTTCAATGGGTTTGTTTCTGTCATTTTGTGAATTCAAATACTTATACAGCTTTCGGAAGACTAGAATATTACCTTATTTGTATTTCGCACACTTTTCTATCATCATTTTGTGACCTACTATGATAGTAAAGTATGAAAATTGGTGTTTATATTTGTTAGTGTTTATGCAATTGCCTGTATGCCAACTGTTAAGTAATTCTTTAAAGCATTTAAAGCATCTTAACTCAGTAGTTGCAGAGCTTATTCCAATGACAAGATCCAATATATTCTTCTTGAAAAGACTATTACTCTGTTTCGGTGGCCTCCGCTAAAAAAAAGTGCAAAGATTTAGATTGCGAGGTATCATTTTGTATGCATATTCGCCCTAAACAAGACTAAGAGCCACTCCAGGTACAGGCTACAATATAAATTAAAAGAAGAGTACATGTAGTTACTCAGCTCAGTTAACTGAAGGTGGGAATTAATATTCCTCTTGAAACAGGACGGATGGTAGGTGGAGAAAAACATGCATTAATCAAGGATTTCCATTGAGATGCAGCACATGGTAAAAAGCTATTGGAATATCCCTTTGTTCTTTTTAGTACATCTGTGTATTGCTACAGTATGGATGAGAACAGGCAGAGTGCCGAGTTTGGACAGAACAGTGGAGTAGTGACCATGAAAATATCTGCTTCATGAAATGTATAATACTGAATAAAATGAATTAGTCAAGAGTGTTATTATGCCTTTACGTATAATGTACAGGGTTATAGCAAAAAATTAAAAGAAGAGTAGGTACTCAGGAAGGCGGAAGGTAGGAATTAACATTCTTCTTGAAACAGGACAGATCATAGGTTGGAGGGAAACAAGCACCAGGCAAGGAATTCCAAAGAGATGCAGCACGTGAGAAAAAGCTATTGGAATATCCTGTTGTTCTTTTTAGTACATCTGTGTACTGCTACAGTATGGATGAGAATAGGCAGAGTGCCGAGTTTCTCTCTCAAATACTCTGATTGGATGAACTTGGTTTGACAGACCAGAGCAGAGATCATGAAAATATCTGTTAAAAAATGGAGTGTTATTATTGTAAACATGTATATCTTTAATTGACTAAAATATTTATTCATGTTTTTAGCTGATCTTCATCTTTCAATCTTACATGTACTTTTCATTATTGACAGTTCATAAACGCAAATTATGTATGAAGAATGTGTTATTATCATTATTTACAGAAAGTCCTTTTTCTTCTGTGTAATACAAACGGTAAAGCTAAGCACCATCAATCCATAATATACGATGAAACGTGTTCTACGAACGCCCATAGGGGCCGTCCTCTCTTTTGGCGTCTCGATCATCACCGACCGACAGGTGTATAGATATCAGAGTTGTAATGACTCGAGTCAATGACTCGACTCGAGTCCGACTCGAGTCACGATTTTTGGTGACTCGACTCGACTCGAGTCCCTAAGGGCAAATGACTCGACTCGAGTCACTGCGAGCAAATGACTCGACTCGACTCGAGTCCCTCATCAGAATGACTCGACTCGACTCGATGAAGGCTAATGAGACTCAACCCCAAAAATAAAAGCAAAACTTTGCGGAAATATTTGCAATGACTTACCCCGGTACCGGTTTTTGTTCACGTCACGTTAGAATGTTCGCGAATAATAGGGACCATTAGAAAACCGTGCAGGTACGGGATGCGTGTGCGTATTATGACGTCATGCGACGTTTGCGTATCGCGTACGTGCATCGTTGCTGAGAGGATTAGATTTTTGTGACGAACGGACATACGGGAGGGCGTCCTCCTCTGTTGATGACGAACAGCTGTGGTGCGTTTCATAAAACTTCCCGACTAATCTGATCCTGCCAAAATCAATCTTATCTCCAAAGCAAACCCTGAAATTTACAATTAAACTATGTCCCTTGCAAAAAGAAATTTTAGTCCGAATCAAACTTAACTTTACACTTGATCCGAATCAATTGTAGCAATAAAACAATCAATCTTAAATGTAATTTTTGGTGGGGAAAATGTTTTAAAAATTAACATTCTGCCAGAGTGAGTGAAATCGCTGCGACTTATCATGGGTTTTTTCTGCTGCTTTTGATGCAGAATCCTTGTGCTTTGCAACGGGAGAGAGTCTTTAGGGACAGGAAGAACTATTTTGATGCATAGGATGACAATGAAGGTGAAAATGATGCTACTGAAGCACTTAACGGGGGCGCTGCCAGGGGCCAAAATAATTCATCACATTTCAGTGAACGTTTGACCTCATGTATGGATAAGACCTCTGCAATTTTATTCTTTAAATATGAAAATAATTTACACATCTACAAATACAATGACATGTATATTTCACGAAGACAACACTTCAACACTCATTGAACTTAACTGATGCAAAAAAAGGTATTTTTTTGAATAAACATTTCATAGACTTACAGGTACTTGATTTTTGGTAAAATGTTGCCGAATTTGAGTTTTGCAGACAATGTGGGCCTTATTCACGAGTTGGCAATTTTTGTCGAGTTCCTTGAATGTATTTTATCAATTGTTAACAGTTGAATGGGATGGCGCCAGACTAATTATGCAGGCACAAAATATGACTTTAAATATAGGGGAATGTTTAATTACAAATTCTAAATTATTCATTGAAGCAGACTGGAATTTATTATACGTTAAGTTGCTTTCATTCTCTTCGCAAGTTCCAAAAATTAAGATTTTACCTAACTTTCAATGCAATATGGCCGACTCGTGAATAAGGCCCATAATGCCCAATGAAAACATAACTTCCACACCCATCTTTTCAAATGAAAAGTCCCTTTTGAAAATGAACAAACTTTTAATGAAGAAATTAACATTAAATGTGCAAATGTGCAGGAACAATTATTATTTGAAACATGCTTGCCACTTAAAATATTACTCCAATTCCATTCAATGTCTTTGATTTTGTTCGTGAATTTAAGTTATTCATTTAAATAAATAAAGACCGCGTTAATTTGCATAGATGGAAGACACTCCAAGATGTCTTTCTGGACAGCCCAATTTGGTTTCATTAGTGCAACTTGGACTTCTCAATTTGCAACAGCTCCTCCTCCACTTCGAGTTCTTATTTTGTAGCCTCGACAAAAAACTGTCTTGTACATTAAAGTAACGCACAAGGTGTACAATAAGTCAATAGGCCTACATGCAACTTCTTTGTCACCAACCAACTGCAAAAGAGACCCGTCTCTGTCTCTTGTCCTGAGACTCCATCACTGTCTGCAGTGCCAAGGCATCTATGACTAGTTCAAATGTTTCCTATGCTGGTATGGATCCTCCTATCCTGGTAAGAGACAAGTTCAGAATAGGAAATGAGGTGGATTTCTGGAGAAAGGCATTGGTCTCTATTGAGTAACAGTTGACCAAACGTACAATTTATTTGTAGAGGTCAACACAATTACAACAAAAAGAAAGGTGATTTTTTTCACTAAGTGATTTCAAACCTTCTTGTAAGAGCCACAAACCTAAAAGAAATGAAAACATATCGCGCTGACATTTAATCACCACATTTGTTCAAAGCCTAATTAAGAAAATCCTGTCTATTGTCAGGCAGAAGAAAACCAGTTTGAGGTCTTGGATTACCTGCAGCCTGAGTCTGGACCTTCAAATCATTACATTCCTTTCTATTAGCCATCCAGTCTCTTGTCGGTGGTCCTCCGACTACTCTGATCAACTTGGCTGGTTACAGCGATTTTGCTCCTAGTTTATTAATAACCCTAACACTTCAGCTATTTTTTGGCATGTGTTGCAGTAAAAGAGCAATAAAAATATCAAATATAATCTGCTCACAAGATCTCGTACTGTAAATACCAGAAACATTTTTTTGCCATGCAATATTGCAATTTAACATTTTGAGTCGTGAGGGAACATTCATAGAGTTGTATATTTGTGGCCTTTTGTTGTTTCTGGCACTCTACACTGTCTTTTTGAACTGATTCATTCAACCTGGCATCATGTTCATTACATTGTTTAACATAATTATGCCACATGTAGTCCCATATGCTGGGAGAGACAGCCTCCCAACCTAACACATTTCTGGTCCTACTTTTTCTAAATACATTTTCAAGGAACACAAAGCATTCTGTATTTGCAGTAATATTCAGACATGCAATCAGGATATAAGATTCTTACAGTCTGGCACAGAATTGTTTGGCAGTTCACAACAGAATTAGAGGTATTCTAAAAGCTAAGACTTTTGACTCTAAGTCAGTTTTAAACTGACGTAGAGTCAAAAGTCTTAGCTTTACCTGTAGCCATTTTCTTTGCTTGCACCTGACGTATGTCAGTCCATTGTCTGGCCTGTGGACCACCAGCCACTCTTTCAGCACCAGCATTTCTTCTTCCTTGCCTCAACCTTTCAAGTAATGAAAACAAATTATTTGGGTGAATGCCATAAGGACCACAGCATTCAATGTATGATTTATCTTAAAACAATACTAGCCACAGAGTTTTGTATAGAGACACAACATCATAAAGGAGCCAATTAAGATTCTTGCTAAAATGCACATTGTTAAACCATGGAGGTATTTCTATCTCCATGGTTAAACAAACATTAAAACAAGCCTCCTTGTCCACTTAATTATGAACTAATTGATTAATTAATCAAAATGGATATTTATTCACTGATTTAATTTTTATTTAATTCTTTTGGCCATCCATACACCCTCTGGACGACACACTAAACAAACACAACTATTCAATTGTACATAGAGAAGTAATTGGAATTATTTGTTACCCAAATAAACTTATTTTACCTTCATGGAGAATGAGGTTGTCCCAGATTCGAATCCCAACTGGGCCATTATGTGGATCAGGGTATTCAGTCCCTGCTTGATTCCACGGGTTTTCCCTAGAATGTCATTGCGGGGTTTTCCTCCCACCACTAAAATTGGAATTTCCTTCTATATCCTCTACCATGCCAACAGACCCAACTGGAAATAAGTTGAGTTAGCCTACTGCCACATACATGACATAGGTTATCCCAGCCACTTGTCAAATAATACATACTACTACCTACATGATGTAGGTGTGTATAAGTTGCAAATCGCGGAAGTGACCGTCAGGTTGCAACATTTTTTTTACAAATAATTTGACTTCAGCATGTCCAGACAGTTTGTATAAACAGGGGCCCTACACTACACATTCGCATTTTTTTTTTTAAATAGGGGGCCTATATTTTACTTTAGTGACAGAAGCCCTTTGCCTTTGTAACATGAGCTTACACAGGCACTTCAGATATATGTAGGGTTTTTTTCACACACAGAGTTGACCATAATTTATAGTTCACGACGAAGCAGGCCATGCTGGTTAGTTATATCATCATCATGGAGCTATCAAACACGGCGATCATGAAGTGTAGGCCCCTGTTTTGTTTGATCAAATAAGTTAATAAGGGTTAAAAAAAAAAAATGGGGGGGGGGGGCTCAAAAATCACCTTTACAATCAAAAGCAGACTTTTCTCAATTCTAATGACACCCATGTAACCAGGTCGGGTTTCAGTACTTACTTTTACCCGACTGGTTCCTTACTCCAGCATTCATTTCATAACTTCTTAACTTCGTGTTTGTGTCGATTCACATGTGAGCACCCATTGCGATCATGCTTTTTGCCTAGCGCCCTCTCGCGGCCAACTAACCTTTTTTTTTGCACAGCGCGCGCCGCCTAGAATTTTGCTCAACTATGCAAAGAGCGTAGCGAGCAGGCGAGTTTAACATTCCACGCGCTTTGTTCAAATTAGATAGCTGACATTCCGGGCGTTTCGGTTAGTTTTCTTGTAAGGCTAGCTGCGGAATACTTTGATTTCGATCCAAAACCTTGTTGCGTTCAAACCATCATTTTGCGAGCTCTTACACTCTCCACTTTTATCTGCAAATTTTGAGTGAGGCTCCCTGATAGCAGTAACATATTTTCGTCTATTTTAACTGCTGATCTTCGATTTTGACATCGGACACCGGAGAAGGCATGAACGTAGATCATCCCAAGTGGTGAGTAAATCCCTTGTCTGATATTTCACTTTTTATGCCTAAAACCTTTTTATGCCTGAATCTTTTTATGCCATCATTTATGCAACATTCTGGTCTTTTGTATGCTTTGTTTATTGCCAGAAATTAAGGCCGTCAAAACGGACACGGCCGGAAATTTGTCTTGTGATCACGACTGATTAGTA